GAGCACCACCAGGAGTAATTCCTGAGTGCAGAGCCAGGAGTAACCCCTGTGCATCGCTGGGTGTGACCCCCAAAAAAGCAATAAATAAATAAACTTTTCATATGCAAATGGATCCTAGTACATACTGGCAACTCCAGTGGCACCTCTGTGAACAAAATCACCCCCGTGAATCCTAAATCCTGTGGAAGGAGCCCCCCATGCATTCCATAAGAACCCCATCCTTTCTGGATTCTCTTGCTTCATTACCTATAGATCTTAACCATCTAAGTATGAAGTGTGCACAGTGTTTGGTCTTCTGGTTGGAGAGAGAGTACAGTGGGTAGGGCGCTGCTTTGCATGTGGGTAACCTCGGGGATCCCTGTGATCCCTGGCACCACATACAGCCTCTTGGGCACCACCACGAATGGTCCCTGAGCACAGAGTCAGGAATAAGCCCTTAACCACCATAGGATGTAGACCCGCCCTTCATGTCCCACGAAAGAGAGGTTGGTCTTCAGGCGGCCAATTTCTAGCAAACAGCAAGAGACCATGGGAACTTTAGAAATATCCTCTCGAGGTAAGCCAGGACAGCTTCCCCAGAAAGAAGGGGCAGGACCAAGACCAGGAGAAGAAGGAATGATCCAGAACCAGAAGAAAGTGCTTAGAAGAGGAAGGGAATGACAGCTATGTCACCCCCAGAGGCTGAGGTGGACATAGAGCCGCAGCCTTTGGCTCTGGCAGGATGGAGGTAACGGGGCTTTGGCAAGAGCAGCTCGCTGGAACCTCATCTGTGCAGCCAGTGGGGCAGTAACACAAGATCCCTTTTGGGAAGGTGCTGTGAGGGGCCTCACTGGGCGCTGCAGCAGCCTAAAACCATGAAGGCATGTGCCAGGGCTCAGCCCCACCGCGCCCAAGTGGAAACAGTGAAGACTGCCTAAACTCTGAGGCCAGAGCGACAGTACAGCAGAGAGGTTGCTTGCCTTGCATGGAAGGCTTCGATTCCCAGCATCCCATACAGTCCCTTGAGCACTGGCAGGAGTGATTCTTGAGTGCAGAGTCAGGGTTAACCTCTAAGCATTGCCACCAGAACAAAACCAAATTAACTCTGAGGACCCGGCGTTGCTGTGCCAGCATAGAGGGGAGTTGCTAAAAAAGGTACAAGAGGGAAAGCTAGGGGGCTGGAGTGATAGTACAACGGGTAGGGCATTTGCCTTGCACGCGGCCGACCTGGGTTCGATTCTCAGCATCCCATATGGTCCCCTGAGCACTTCAAGGAGTGATTCCTGAGTGCAAAGCTAGGAGTAACCCCTGTGCATCGCCAGGTGTGACCCAAAAAGCAAAGAAAAAAAAAAGAAAAAACAAAGCAAAAGAGAGAACTAAAGCCAGTGACCTGCTGGACAGACCTGGACAGTGGCAGGACTGAGTGGTGACTCAGTGGGAGGACTAAAGTATACAATACCACCCCCACATTCTTTTTGCATCTGTGACCCCCTCAAAGCTTTCACTCTGCTCATACGAGCAAACCATAACCTGCACACCTTAGGACCTTGCTTCAGAGAATCTGTTTATATCTCAAAGAGATACACTGCACACACACAGTCATGCATGGAGGCACAGAACAGGACCTGGAGTTGGGGAGATGACACACGGGGCTGGAGCACAGTCTGTGTACAGGAGCTCCAGGTTCGATCTCTGGAACCACACGGGCCCCCCCCAAACACCTCTGGAAATAAGGAGGAGAAAAGAGAAAGAGAAAGGGCTGGAGTGATTGTACAGAAGGTAAGGTGCTTGCTTGCCTTGCAGGTGGCTGACCTGGGTTCAATCCCTGGCATCCCATATGGTCCCTCGACCCTACCAGGAGTGAGTCCTGAGCATCGCCAGATGTGGCCCCAAAACAAAACAACAAAACCCCTAAAGGTTTGATGTAGGCTGAGCTGCAGCTGATAAGTGGCAAGACAAGGGTCTTCTGTGGCAGGGAAACCTGGCAGGGAACAGTCCGGAATTGCAGCTGATCTTCAGGAGGCAGCTGTTGCTGGTTGCTATTATTGCCACATTGGTTTCCTTTCAAGACTAAAAAAAAGGTACAATCTTAGTAACTAAAAACAACACAAAACTTGGTTTTGTCTTTTCTGTTTTTGGACCACACCACAGAATTCTCAGTGGCATTCTCGTATGTACAAGGAACATCCCCTACTCACTGCAGTCCCCGGCAACACAAGTTTTTGTTGTTGTTGTTGTTGTGTTGCTTTTTTGGGTCACACCCGGCGATGCACAGGGGTTATTCCTGGCTCATGCACTCAGGAATTACTCCTGGAGATGCTCGGGGGACCATATGGAATGCTGGGAATCGAATCCGGGTCAGCCGCATGCAAGGCAAATGTCCTACTCGCTGTGCTATTGCTCCAGACCCTCAACACAAAATTCTTATTTGACAGTTGTCAAGATCATAAGTCCAAGCTAGGTCCTACCCACCTCCACTCACAATGACCCCAGGGTTACCTTCCTTCTGGAGATTAGGGTCTCCATTTTCGAGGCTGTCCATATCACTCAAAGCCACCTTCCATGTCAAAGCAAGATCTCTCTTCCTGGGGCCAGAAAGCCCAGTAAACAGGGAGTTTGCCATATACGCCTGACCTGAGTTCTATCCCTGGGATCAGATATGGTCCCCCCTCCCAGCCCTGCTTGAAGTTATCCCTGACCAAAGTGCCAGTAATAAGCCCTGAGCACCTCCAGGTGTGGCCCTACTCACTATATACAAGGCAAGTGCCCTACCCACAGTACTCTTTGGCCCCCTCAATACTCTTTTTTGCTCTAAGGCAGGTCTACAAGAGGCCACATGTGTCCTGAATCACCAAGGGGCCTGACTGTATCTAGTCTAGGACACTTCATCCCAAGACATACTCTATGTACTCATCAGTTTTTCTTTTTCATTAAAAAAAAAAACTTTAAAAAAAAATTTTGGAGCCACACTGGGTCACATCAGGGCTAACTTTTTTCTGCCTCTGTGTTCAGGGGACCTCATCTCTGATGGTACAGGGGGTGGGGTGCCAGGATCCTGGCCAGTCGACCGACCCTAGCACACTGGAGTATGATTCCCCAAAGTCACCAGACTTACTCCCTGTGGCAGAGGGAGTGGGAAGGAGAGAAACCTTTGCCCTGGTCCTCCGCGCACCACGAGCTCCTGCTCCCGCCAGGAAAGAACCACGCAGAGGGGGGAAAGCTGGTGTTCAATTAGCAATCGCTTTACTGACTCCTACACAGGGGTTTTTATGCACACAATTGGGAGGGGCATTCCACATGTGTAGCACGTTTATCTCATCGAGCTCAGTACAGATGCTAGTTAATGATTTGTAATCCCCGCTCTCAGGGCCAGGTTAATCAGCTCAGGCAAATGTTAACTCTCACTCCCCTCATCCCATTGTCTCCTCAACTAGAGTGCCTACATGTGTGGAGTGCTGGAGCAAGTCCCTGGGCCCCTATAAACAGGGCCAGCTCCTGCTTTCAGCAGCATGGGGTCCCGCTGGCTGCTGAGACCCCAACAGTCGGGCGAGTGGGGGTGGGGGAACCATATCTAGTGTCAGGGATTGAATCTAGAAGCGCGTTAACCCTTGTACTCTCTCTCCCGCTTGTCAGTTTTCTTTTTTATGAATGAGTCTTGTTGGTCCAAACAGAATTGATCTTATTCATTGGCTTTCCTTTCCTTGCTCAACTCAGGAAGGTGTCCACAAATCATTTTGTGGACGAATAGTTGCCATTGCTTGCTACTGTATCTTGCGGAGCAGTTACACAGCCCTGGCTCTGGGAAGCAGCGTGGGAGGAGAGACAGGTGAGTCCTGTTCCAAGTGATTGCGCCAGGTGATAGGTTTCCTAAGGAGAGGCTCTTCCTGATGAATTTCCGCTGTGAAGGAGCAGCCGGCAAGAGCAGTCGTGTCAGCGGGATATGGGCCTGAAAGGCAGGAAGAACCAATCGCTTCAGTTTATGTCGGGCCCTGCCTGAGTGCCTAGGCTGCTGGGCACTCAGACCCTGCCCCTGGGCTTTAGAGACAGGATGGGACATTCGAAACAGACACTGGGATTGGAGCCAGTTACAGCAGGCAATGCGCTTTCCTTGGGTGCTGCCTACCAGGGTTGGAACGCGGGCACCACATATGGTCCTCCGAGATCACCAGGAATGATCCCTGAGCCCAGATTCAGGAGTGTGAGCACCTGAGCACCGCGCGTCCCCCAACAAACAAAAATAAATAAAAATTTGACATCAGCCACGGCTCGGAATCTCCGTGCGCTTTTTATCCTCTTCCCGGTCCCCTCTGGGTGGAATCCTGGACTCATTCGCCATCGAGAAGGCCAAGGAGTCCAAGGGCCAAGACTTTGGGAGACACTCTCGCCCGAGGTTGCACTGGTCCTGAGGCTGGCGGCTGGAGGGCGCGCAGGTGGCGGTGGCGAGGGCCGGGCTGATAGTGACGGCTCCGGTGACGGGCCGCGGAGCCGCGCGCGCGGGCGGTGAGCCCGGCACCTTCCCGGCGTCCGTCCCCGCAGACAGTCCAGGATCCTCGGTCCTCCGGGGGGCCGGGGGGGAAAAGGGGTCGGCACCCTGGGGCTCAGACTGTGCTCGCGGTCCTCGGCCGCGCACCGGAGTAGGCGCAAGCCAGCCCTCGCGGTCGTGGACCGGCAGGCGGCGTGCGGCTCCAGCGATCGGCGGGAGCCCGGCGACGCGCGGGAGTCTCGGGCCAGACTAGATGGGGAGGACCCGGACGAAAGCGGGCTGCACCCCGCGGGGAAGGACCTCTACGGCACCCGGTGCCATTCAGAGCTCCTGAGATCCCCGCGCCTCGGGATCGTGGGAGCAGGAGAGACTCGCCCTTGGGCTGCGCCCCGCGTCCCTGCGTGCTGGCTCCAGGCTGGGAGCGAAGGGCTCTACCCCAAGCCGCGGCTCCGAGTCCGCAAGCCACAGGTGAGGGCGCCGCCAAGGGCCGGGGGGAGGGGCCACGCGCAGGCCCCGCCCCGGGACCGCCCACCCACCACCGGGGCGGGGCCTCCGGGCCGCCCAGCCCCTACGGGGCCCGCGAGAGCGCGGCCCCGCCCCCCGCCTATAAGAGCGGTGCGGCACTGCAGCTAGCGCAGTTCTCACTGAGACCCGTCACCCGGACTCTGCGTGAGACGCACCACCCGGACTCACCATGGTGAGTGTGGGTCCTCTGCCACCGCTCCCGGCCCCTCAGTTGCCCCTCTCCTTCGGGGACCCTCTCTCCGCCGGCACCCTCCATCCCGCGCTCCTGCGGGAAGGTGCCAGGAGAGGTTGCGCTGCCTGCACCTTCCACCTCCACCCTCACCCACTCCCGGGCACTCTGGAGGAGCCGTGCGCTTGACTTTCGGAGACCGGGGTGGGGGTGGCGGGGGATGCGGGGGCTGCGGGGGAGGACTGCGCGAGGCCAGTCTGGGGCGCCTCCTGGAAAGGCACTCCGGCGCGAGTGCCCGAAGCGTCCCGGCGCGGGGGTGGGGTGGGTCACGCGATCCCCGCGCTCGGTTCTTGCCACGGGCGGGCCGGAGACCCGCTCGGCCGCCCTCCGCTCCGGTCCTCCCCGCTCCCCTCCCCGGTCCCCCCCGTGCCCTGGAATGGAGCGAACACGTGCTTGGCGCTAGACGGTGGAAGGGGGTCAGGTTACGGGTTCCCGCGTCCCCTTTTCTCCCGAGAATATGTGCATCTCTCTCCTCGCCGCCGTCTCCCCCCACCCCGTGACTCAGCACCCCGCTTCGGAGCCCGGAGGGATGGCGGGAATGGGGTTTGGCCTGGTGGGGCCAGCCGGCCCCCCTCGCCAGCCCGAGTCCGGGTGCGCCGATGGGCAGAGACAGCTGGCGCGGAGCGCGAGCGCGGGCAGAGGCCAAGTGGGGGGAGGGCAGAGGTGTGCGTAGGGGTGATATTTTTAGCCCTGGATGGGGGCCCCGAAATCCAATCCTCGCTCTATCCGGGGATGCTGGGACACGAAGGAATCTCTCCGGGAGGCGAATGGAGGGCCGGGGTGTCGGAGCGCGCTCCCCTGGTCGGAGTGAGGTAACCCGCAGGTTCCGCTTCCCTTTCTGGGTATTTGGAAACCGTCACCCCGCCATTTCAGGGTTTTGCCAAGGAGGGTTGCGCTGTGCCGCCTTACTGGGGCGCTTGGGGGAGGGGACGGGGGCTAATTCAAGATTTGGCGTGGGGGGAAGGGGACGCCCGGGGCGCCGCTGGCCACAGCCCCGCTGCCTCTGCAGGTCTGTGCTCACTGCTATTTCCGTGAGGGCTGACGTGGAGCTGAAGGCTCCTGGGGTGAGGGGGTGGAGGTGGGGAGAGCAGCCAGCTGGGATCGATCCCCCAGAGCCAGATGCGATCAGATGGTGTAGAATGCCACCCCAGTGGCTCCCGGGGTCACCTAATGCCAGGCTGGAAGGCAGACACCCCCTCCGCAGCCAGCCGTGGAGAAGGAAAGGAAGGGAGAGGGGGGTAGCTGAAATTCTGGTTGTTCCTCCCCCAAGCGAGAGTTATTCAAGTGTGCATGCGTGGGTGGGTGGGTGGGGGTGGGGGGTCTCCAGCTGTAAATACTCAGCTCTGGGAAATCTCACTTTTTCTCCGATGTGCAGCAGCGGGTTTTGTGCCTGGACCAGGATTCAGGAGCTGCTCAAAGTCGCTTGCCCTTGACTGGGTGACTGGCAGCCAGCTCCTCTGGGCTGAAAAATAAACACTTGCCCTCTAGGTCCCTCCCCCCCGCCCCCCCCCCCCCCCAGTGCTAGGTCCAGGCAGCCTGCCCTCATCCACCCACTGAGAAGTAGGCAAAGAGGGGTGTCTGGCCGAACTGGGTGCCTCCAAGTTGGGGAGACGCTCTGTAGGGGAGTCTGGGCAGATTGCCAGCCTCTCTCATCTGTGCCTAGCCCCAAAGCCGCCACTTTTGCCAACTGAGTCATCTGGACTGGCAGGTGATGGGGATGAGAGAGAGAGAGGCCCTTGAGGTGAGGACTCCGGGCTGTGGGCCCTCCTGTGACCGTCACCTCTCTTTGTCCCTCAGCGTGAATGCATCTCTGTGCACGTGGGGCAGGCAGGTGTCCAGATGGGCAATGCCTGCTGGGAGCTCTACTGCCTGGAGCACGGGATCCAGCCCGACGGGCAGATGCCCAGCGACAAGACCATCGGGGGAGGGGACGACTCTTTCACCACCTTCTTCTGCGAGACAGGGGCCGGGAAACACGTGCCCCGCGCTGTGTTTGTGGATCTGGAACCCACTGTGATCGGTGAGAGGAATGGGGGCCAGGAGTGGCGGGCAGGGGGCAGACATTGAGGGGAGTGGGCAGGGACCTTCAATGTCTCCATCTGTTGAAAGTGTGTCCAATGGGGCTATAGCAATAGCACAGCGGGTAGGGCGTTTGCCTTGCACGCGGCCGACCCGGGTTCGATTCCCGGCATCCCATATGGTCCCATGAGCACCGCCAGGGGTAATTCCTGAGTGCAGAGCCAGGAGTGACCCCTCCATCACCGCCAGGTGTGACCCCCCAAAAAAGTGTGTCCAGACCAGGCTTTTCCCTGGCCCTGAAAACTGCTTGCCCCATGCAAGCCACGGAAGGAAGGGGGTCACAGCTTGTTTTTTTTTTTCTGCAAACAGCTATCTCAGGCTGGCAGGAGGTTGATGGTTTCCAAACGTCCGGCCGCAGCGCCCCTGGGTGGGCGGAGGGAAGGCCCTGCCTAGTATGGCCTTTGTGGTTTGTATTCATCCTGGTGGTCTGTGCCTTTACAGATGAGATACGAAATGGCCCGTACCGCCAGCTCTTCCACCCCGAACAGCTCATCACTGGCAAGGAGGATGCAGCAAACAACTATGCCCGGGGTCACTACACCATCGGCAAGGAGATCATCGACCCTGTCCTGGACCGGATCCGCAAGCTGGTGAGGATTAGGGCTGAGGGGGAAAGAGAGGACAAGGAGGGAAGGTTCTGAGATGATGCTCATGGTGAGGGACAGTTCTCTGGGTCCAGATCTATTTCAAGCAGCTGTGGCTAATTGTAGCTGTTCCCAGAGTGAGCCGCGCCTCTGCCGTGCTCATCAGTCTTATTCCTGACTCCTGAGATATTTTCAGCTTTCCTGAAGCCAGGAGGGAGTCCCCAGGCTGCTCCCCTGTCTCCATGGCTCTTGCTTGCTTGTTTTTCAGGCTGACCAGTGCACAGGCCTCCAGGGCTTCCTGGTCTTCCACAGCTTCGGAGGGGGCACCGGCTCCGGCTTCACCTCGCTGCTCATGGAGCGACTCTCCGTCGACTATGGCAAGAAGTCCAAGCTGGAGTTCTCCATCTACCCGGCCCCCCAGGTGTCCACAGCCGTGGTGGAGCCCTACAACTCCATCCTGACCACACACACCACCCTGGAGCACTCGGACTGCGCCTTCATGGTGGACAACGAGGCCATCTACGACATCTGCCGGCGCAACCTGGACATCGAGCGGCCCACCTACACCAACCTCAACCGCCTCATCAGCCAGATCGTGTCCTCCATCACCGCCTCGCTGCGCTTCGACGGGGCCCTCAACGTGGACCTGACCGAGTTCCAGACCAACCTGGTGCCCTACCCCCGCATCCACTTCCCCCTGGCCACCTACGCGCCGGTCATCTCGGCCGAGAAGGCGTACCACGAGCAGCTGTCGGTGGCCGAGATCACCAATGCCTGCTTCGAGCCGGCCAACCAGATGGTGAAGTGCGACCCCCGCCATGGCAAGTACATGGCCTGCTGCCTGCTGTACCGGGGCGACGTGGTGCCCAAGGATGTCAACGCCGCCATCGCCGCCATCAAGACCAAGCGCAGTATTCAGTTCGTGGACTGGTGCCCCACGGGCTTCAAAGTGGGCATCAACTACCAGCCCCCGACGGTGGTGCCCGGGGGAGACCTGGCCAAGGTGCAGCGGGCCGTGTGCATGCTGAGCAACACCACCGCCATCGCCGAGGCCTGGGCCCGCCTGGACCACAAGTTCGACCTGATGTATGCCAAGCGGGCGTTCGTGCACTGGTACGTGGGCGAGGGCATGGAGGAGGGCGAGTTCTCCGAGGCCCGGGAGGATATGGCCGCCCTGGAGAAGGATTACGAGGAAGTGGGCATCGACTCGTACGAGGATGAGGACGAGGGAGAAGAGTAGAAGAGCTGCGTGGAGTCCCCCCTCCCCTCCCACTATGTTTATTGCAAAAAGCCTTTCGAAATAAACAGTCTCCATGCACGGTTTCTTGTCCGCTCTGTCTGCTTACGCTGCTTGTGCCTCTGCTGCCTTCCTCCTCATGCTGCTGTGGCTGCTGCTGCCCTGCTCATTGCTCCTCGCCCCTTACCTCCTGCAGCTGAAGCTGAGAACTGCCCCGATCAGGGAAACCTGATCTCCGGGGCTCGGGGCTCGGAGAGAGGGAGGAAAGGAAGACCCGGCCCCAGCCCAGGATGTCTCTTCCCAGCCCACCTTCACTTCCTTTCCGAGTAGGCGATGGAGTCCCGCTTTTTGGAGTTTTGAGAGTTGAGACTGCTCCCTCCTTCCTTCCTGCTGCTTCTGCTGTCTTGGGCTCTGGAAGCCAGGCTGGGCCCAGACCCTTCTGGGCCTGATGAGAGCTTGGGCTGGCCTGGCCTGGCCTCCCAAAGCCTGGAGGCTTGTCATCAGCTTGGGGGGGCCCCCCCGCCCTGCACCCCAGCAGCTTTGCTGAGCTTCCTGTCTTGTCTTGCTGCTTTGCTGGGGCCTCCGGCTGTGCCATTAAAAGTCAGGTCGTCTCCCCTCTGTTTGTGCTTTCTTTCTAGCCTCGGCCTCTGTGCTAGCTGGTGGGGCGCCTCCTGCCAGAGCCCTGGGGAAAACGCCAACTTTGCTAATAGGCACCCAAGGACCCACACTGACGTCAGCCGGCACGTGGCGGGGAGTGGGCACCATTGGGGAGGGGAGGGGAGGGAGACGCCATCTCGGGAGCACGAAATGCCAACTGCAGCCTGGCCACCCCTCCCTGGCGATGCAGGGACGCCGTGCCCTTCCCTCGGGAACAGGAGTCCAGCCCCGCCAAGGTAGGGCCCCTGTTTACTCAGCAGTGCAGGCAGGAAGTGGCGGGCTGGATCTGGCCAGTCATTAATCATTAACTGTGTGTGAGCTTGAGCCATCTGCGAGACTGAGGGCCCAAATGGCTGCCACCAGCGCTCCCCTTGCCCCCAGGCTGAGCTAGGGGAGCGAGAGTGTGAGCAGTTGGGAAGCTTCCTGGCTGTCTCCACCCAGGGCAAGGCTGGTAAACCGGCTGGGCTGCTCTGACTCAGCTCCCCACCCCAAGGCCAAGGGAGGAGGGAAAGGAGTTGGGGAGGCTTTTGAGGGGGCCCTGGTGCCGGTTCTTGGCGTAAGCAGATGCCCGCTCAATCCAGAGTGGCTTCCCATTCTGACCGAGGGCAGCTAGGAACACGGCTGTCACCCGCCAGCCCGCTGAGGGAAGGCTCCCCGCCTGCCTCCTCTCTGGAATGGCTGTCGCACTGTTCCTGGGCCACTGTCCTCCCGGGGCCCTGGCCTTGGGAACGGGAACCAGCCTGCAGGCCCCACACTCTGGGAACAATGAGATGGAGAATTCCAAGACACCAAAGTGCTTTCACTTTATTCCTCTGTCTGTATACAATCTCGGGCTCCCGAATTGGGAACCAGACCATGATGTGAGCTCAGAGCCCGTGCCCCCCAGCTCAGGGGCCCTGCCCCTTTTGCTCTTGGGAGTGAGAGGGCAAAAGGAGAGAAGCGTGTGATGCCTCCCCCTTCCCGCCCTCAATGGCAAGTGAGCGGAAGTGGGGGAGCCAGCCACGCCACGCCACGCCACACACGGGCCCAGAGCCTTTGTCCTGGGCTCTGCAGCCGCCCTCTCCCCACGGCTACTGGCTGGCTCAGACCACGCCACTGACTTGCTAGGACCACGGCCACTGTTTTGCTCAGATGTGGGTCGTGTGCTGGCCCGGCGCTGGGGGCTGCAGGGCCTCCAGCTGCGTGAGGAGGACGGGAACATGAGGGCGCTGCTCGGAGTCCACGGTCATCATTGAGTCCAGCAGCTGCTGCATCGCTGCCGAGTACCTACGGAAGGAAGGGCCAGGGGACCGGAGCACACCCAGCTCTGGGCTAGGACCCCACCCTGGGATACAGGGAGGCGTGTGTATGTTACAGATGGGGGTTCACGGCTCACCTGGGGCTCTGTGGGATGATGAGCTTATTCTGTACAGCCAGGGCCACACTGTCCCCCTTCTGGAACACCATGTCATAGGGCCCTTCGCCGTACATCATGGCGTAGAGCACACAGCCTAAGGACTAAGCAAACCTTGGTTACTCCTGGGCAGGGGACTCGAGGAAGGGATGGCTGTCTTTTTCATTCTGGAGTGGAGCAATACAGGGAGAATCACAGGAGCTGGAGGGAATCACCAGGGTCTGGAGAGACAATCTGCCACCTGGGGGGCCCCCCCGAAACTCTCGATCAGCCTCTGCCCTCAGGTCTGACGCTGAGCGCCACCCACCCCATTCAGAGGCATGAGGGTGGCAGGAAACCACTCCCTGAGCAACTGAGTACATAAGCAACAGCACCTGTTCCCAGGAAGGAAGTGCAGGGGGATGGGGACATCTGCAGTTCCGGGGGCCCCAAGCAGAGACAGCCTCTGTCCCGCAGGAGTATGAGGTAGGGGTGGGGGAGGGGGCCCTCTTCTCACCCAGACATCGGTCCGCTCATCGATGACGCAGTGGCTCTGCACGGTGAAGAGTTCGGGGGCCCGGTAGGAGATGGTGCACCGCTGGGCTGCCCAGTCCTGGAACACAGATGTCCAGCGCACAGTAGTGGAGGGTCACAGTCACAGAGCTGGGGCAGGCACTGGAAGGAGCAGTGGAGTGGGACGAGGAAGGGGTGGGGTGGGGTGGGAGGGAGATGGTCCTACCTGCAGGGCCAGAGCCTGGCGGGAGCCCTCCACGTGGATGCGAGCTTGATTCATGGAGCCCAAATCCATTAAAACCGGCTGCCCCTCCTCCCCGAGCAAGATATTGGTGGGCTTCAGATCTCTGCAGGGAAGTGGACAGGACCCCTGAGTCGCCTGCACCCGGACAGGGGAGGCGATGAGAGGCGGGAGCAAAGCCCTCATGCTTCCATGGGCACGGGGCTCCCCCACTGACCTGTGGGCGTAACCCTTGGCATGAATGGCCTCGAGGCCTCTGCAGATGCCCAGCAGCAGCTGGAGGATTTGGTCTTCAGTCAAGAAGCTGCCTTTGTCCTTCAGCCTTTCGATCTCGTTCCACAGCGTCCCTCTCTGCAAAGCAAGTCCCGCCCACAGTGGGCAATGGGTGGGCAGCATTCCCCACAGCCATCACACCTCCACCTTCTCCTCCTCCTCCTCCTCCTGCGGCCCCAATCTGCCGGGGCCAACCCCCGTTCGTTCGGAGGCCCCGGAGGCCAGCCCTCTCTCTTCACTGCCAGGGGACTTTCTGACCTTGAAGAAGGGGAGCAGTAGCCAGGCCTCCAGCTTGGGGCCCCGCTCCTTCACACAGTAAGCCACGAGGTGAAGGATGTTGGGGTGATAGAAGAGGCGGTGCATGTCCGCTTCCCGCTCGGCTTCCTCCTGGTCCTGCTGCTCGTGACACAGGATTCGCTTCAGGGCGTAGAAGTGTCCATCGTGCAAGCCCTCCACTAGGTCCACATAGCTGAACCCGCTGTGGGCCAAAGGAGTGAGTGAAGGGCAATGATCATAGGTCACACTGCCAGGGGAAGGGGAGTGTTTTGGGGGAGAACGAGGGAGGAGGGGGAGAGCGGGAACAGTGTCCTTCATTCCTATTTAGCAAAACACCTCCCCAAGCAAGACGTGGCCTCGATACCATGTTTCGTAAGCGACAGCTGCTTGGTAAATGTCCACACTGACCTACAGCTGAGCCCTGCGTGCGTTGCCATATGGGCACCATCTTAGGGTCCCGTCAGCACTCCATGGTGCACAGGAGGAAATCAAGAGTCTCACAAGGTCATCCAATACGCACTTGGAGGGCAACAGTACAGCGGGTAGGGCGCTTGCCTGGCACGTGACTGACCCAGGTTGGGTTAGATCCTCAGCATCCCATATGGTCCCCCGAGCCCACTTGGAGTGATCCCTGAGCAAAAAGCCAGGAGCCAGCCCTGAGCACCTCTGGGTGTGAACCCCCCAAAAAAAACACCCCAAAATGAAACAAAACAAAACACCAAGGCGGCCTGAAGAAGAAATCTATCTCCAGAAACCACCCTCTTTCCTACTTCACTCTGGAAGAAAACCTTGGGGGAGCCCCGATCCTTGGAAGACTGCTGTCCCTCAACCTGCCCAGAATGCTGAGGCCCAGCTGGGTGGGTGGTGGCCACACACTCACCCCTCCCCCAGTTTCTGGATGAAGAGGTAGCGCTTGTTGTCCACGACGAAAGTTCCCCGAGAGCAGACACACAGCGCGTGGCCCATAGCGGCCCAGGCATCCTCCTCCAGGGCGGTCTAGTAGGGCTGCCAACGGGCTCGTGCAGGGGGGGCTGCTCTGACAGGCGACGAGCCGAGGGTCCGGGAGAACATTCTGGAAGGGAGAGAACGGCACGGGTCGGACACAAGCCAGAGGGGACCCAGCGGAGCAATGGGGACAGCTCCACGCTCCGGCCTGGCGATGCCAGCTCCCGTATGGCAGCGCCCAGGAGCCTTCCAGCGCCAGACCCTGGGTCCACCTGCGGGCCGCCCGGGCTCCCGCACCCACTGGGCCGCGTTGGTCCTGATGACGGGAAGGGGGCGCTGCGAGGCGAGGGGACATCTTCTGGGCGCCCCCCACCTCCTCGGCATCGCCGCGCACAGGCCAGGAGGGGGCCGGACCCGGACTACCCACTAACCTGGCTCGGGCGAAAGAGACGCAGCGGGACCGGAAGCGGTGCTACGTCATCAGTCCGCGCCGGAGCAACGGCCCAGCTGTATCCTAGCAACCTCCGGGCATCCCCAGGATGTGGGAGCGCGGTGCCCAGAGGCCGGGGGCTTGACTAGGCCTGGCGGGGAGGCTACGGGTCCCGGCCCCGGGTGCGAGTTCCCCGTCTGGCCTTCAGCAAGGGGCAAAACGCAGGCACCGACGCCAAAGGGGAGCAAAGCCGGACTCGGCCGAGGCCCCCCAGAACTGCCACCTCCTCCCGATGCCGGAGGTAGGAGGCCCCCTACCGCCGGCGATCAGCTCCCGCAGAGAGCGGTGGAGACGGCAAGTGCCTGGACTCCCGGGAGCTCTGATGACTGCCCTCTGGGGGCCTCTAGCCTGTATCCCACTACCCTAGTCTTAAGGGCGCAGGTTCCTGAACCAGATTTTTTTTTTACAAGCCCCGTGCCCCGTGACCGAGTGACCTCGAACAAGTTATTGAAGCTCGAGGAATCTCACTTGCCCTCATGGGTCCCCAAATGCGTGCACCATGATGCCAGACCAGCAGGTGCAACCCCCATTTTTATTCAACGGGTTGTAATCCCGTCGACCTCTTATTCCCTGTCCTACCCCCTTGATCTTCTCGCCTGTAAAATGGAAAGTGCTCAACGGGCTGCTAATGCTGAACCCAGCCCCCAGTCTGTCCTGGTACTCAAGAATTATTCCTCCATCCTCAGGGCCCCAGGCTTGGGACTGGGAAGGCAAGAGTGATAGAAAATTCTCGAGTCCCATGTCTGGCTACCGAGGAGTGGTTTCACTGTCTCTTGCCCCGGCAAGGGGGTCCTTTGGAGAGGGACACACTTCCAAGGAAGATCAAGCAGCCAAAATGGGCATCATGGCCCTTTAGCTGAAAGAGGGTCTTCCAGGACAAAGACCAGTCCTGGACTGGAGAGATAGCGCAGTGGTAGGGTGCTTGCCATGTGATCAGCAGACCCAGATTCGCTCCCTGGAACCACATATGGTTCCCCAAGTCCTGTGAGGACCTATCCCTGAGCACAGAGGGGTAGGCTCTGAGCACTGCCAGGTGTGACTGCCCCCCCCAAAAAAATTATTGTCACCTGGTACCCCTCATTTAACACTCCAGAACATAGGTTTCCCTTGCTTTTTTCCCCCCTTTTTTTGGGTCACACTCGGCAATGCACAGAGGTTACTCCTGGCTCATGCACTCAGGAATTACTCCTGGCAGTGCTCAGGAGACCATATGGGAAGCTGGAAATTGAACCCGGGTTGACTGTATGCAAGGCAAACGCCCTACCCGCTATGCTATCATTCCAGCCCCAGGTTTCCTTTGCTTTTGGATTTTCTTTAGCCCCATGGCTCTTATATTTATTCATCTTGATTTAACTGAGCTGGAGAGCTAGAACAAGGGGTTCAGATCCTCACTTTGCATGCTTCAGACCCTGATTGGTCACCACTACACAAGCCCCACCCCCCAAGCGTGGCTAGGAGTCCCTCTTGAGCACAGAGCCAGAAAAAACCTGGAATGGGGACCAATGCCATCCTCTCCTCCCCACAGATATAGATATAATCTGCTCTGTGCCTTGTGCCATGCCAGAAGCCAAGGACAGGTTCAAGAGGGAACCAGTACTCTCTTCCCTCAGTTTTGGGGAACATTGTTCCCCCCTCAAATGTGCTCAGGATGATCTGTGTATCTTTATTGTCTGATTGGGCCACAGCCAGTGCTCAGGGCCTACTCCAGGCGCTACGCTCAGGGATTGCTCCTGGTGGGGCTCAGGGAATCAAACGTGGTACCAGGGATGGAACCCTAGTTCGGCCGTGTGTCAGGCCGACCTGATTTACATTGGTCCCAGCCCCAGCCTGAGTATCTTTAAAGAACAGATTCTGGGATCCTGGGACATAGTGCCAAGGGCTGAGCACAGGGTTTGCACACAGGAACCTGGGGTTCGGTCCCACATCCATGGCTCCATCCATGGGCTCCAGTACCTCCCAGTGTGCGCCCCAATGTATCTATCCTATCTGGTTCCAAGATAGGACCCAAGATGCTGTTTTTGTTTGTTTTTTGCTTTTTGGGTCACACCCGGTGTTGCTGCACAGGGGTTACTCCTGGCTCTGCACTCAGGAGTTACTCCTGGTGGTGCTCAGGGGACTATATGGGATGCTGGGAATCGAACCTGGGCCGGCGGCTTGCAAGGCAAATGCCCTCCCCGCTGTGCTGTCTCTCCAACCCAAAGATGCTGTGTTTTTAGCACGCTATGGAGCTCACACTCGGATGACTGTTCAGGAGCTGCATTTGGAGTAGTGAGCTGCTGAGGCTTTAAATTTCTTGTTTGATTTAGACATCGTGATTTACGTGGTAGTTGACAATGAGTTTTTGAGCATACAATGTTCCCACCTCCAGGCCCACCACCAATGTGTCTCTATCTCCACGGCTGGCTCCAGGTTCTCTCCCGCCCCTCCACCCAGACTCCCTAACAGGCTTTTAAGTTTGCTGGTTGTAGGTTTGCAGATACCTTACCTCTAAGGCCCCAGCCCCCTGCCCCATTGTTGCTTCCAGAACTTTCCTTCTTGCTACCATTTCTTCCTCTCCTTGCCCACCCCCCAGTCTAGAGCCAGTATTTTGCTCACTTTTGCTGCCTACCATTCCCCCTTGACTTGATATTCTCTACACCAGCCCATTGCGAACATCCGGTGCGTGACCTTGTTTTTCTGACTTCCTTCACTGACCATCAGCTCTTGCAGTTCACCCGTGGGAGCTGCAGACGTTTCTACAAGCTCACAGAGAGCGGCGGGTGGCTACAGGCGCACAGCAGCGGTGGTCTCCGCCCCTTTGCTCCCTGAGCTTCCCTCCCGGGAGGCCTCCACGTGACCGTCGAACCGCCCGCCCGTGGCGAACTTGGGGAGCCCTGGACGCGCCATGGACCCGCAGCCGCCTCTCTGTCTGGCCTTCCCGCTGCTGCCGCTGCCGCTACCACTGCTGCTGCTGCTGCTAACACTACCCCAGGTACCGGCACAGAGAGACCCAGCCCGGCAGTGGGGCGGGCGGGGATCCCCTCCGCGGAGGGGGGAGGGGAGACAGTGAAAGAACACCCCACCCCCGCGCCCCGGCCAGCTGGCCCCTTCTCCTGGAACCCACTCCTCATGCCCAGCTCCCACCGATCTGTCCCCCTGCAGGCGGACACGCGGTCGTTCGTCGTGGATTGGGAGTATGACAGGTTCCTCCTGGACGGGACCCCCTTCCGCTACGTGTCCGGCAGCATGCACTACTTTCGGGTCCCACGGGTGCTCTGGGCCGACCGGCTTATCAAGATGCGAATGAGCGGCCTCAACGCCGTCCAGTTGTAAGAAGTGGGGCGGGGAGAGCTCAGGACCTCATCCGCCTGAGGTGCCAGGAGGGCAGGGCTGCAGAAACTGGTGTCCCGGCCAAGGTGGGAAAGGAGGCCCGGCACCTCCTTCCAACAGCTTCCCAGAGTTCCCCAAACCCTTTAGACCTCCCCAAGCCTGGGCCCTGCATCCTGTTAACTGTTTCCTTTCTCAGTTATGTGCCCTGGAACTACCATGAGCCAAAGCCCGGGGTCTATAACTTTGAAGGCAGCCGGGATCTCATTGCATTTCTGAACGAGGCATCTTTAGCAAACTTGTTAGTCATCCTGAGACCAGGACCTTACATCTGTGCTGAGTGGGAGATGGTGAGTTAGTGGAGCAGGGTGGAAGCGCGCGCACACACACACACAGACACACACACACACAGACACAGACACAGACACACACAGACACACTCAGATACACGCACATAGACACACACACAGACACATGCACACAGACACATGCACACAGACACATGCACACAGACACACACTCAGATATACACAGATACACACACAGACACGCACACAGACACACACGCACACAGACACACACGCACACAGACACACACATGCACACACAAACACGCACACAGACACACATAGACACACACAGATACACGCACACAGACAGACACACACAGACACACGCACACAGACACACGCAGATACACACACACACACACACACACACATGCACACACCCCAGTTCTAGTCTGTTCTTATTCACCCGGGCTCTAGGCCACTCTGGTGCCCTGCTCTGCCTTCTTTCTTCTCACAGACACACACATGCACACACAGACACGCACACAGACACACATAGACACACACACATACACACACAGATACACGCACACAGACATACACACATGCACACAGACACACACAGACACACGCACACAGACACACGCAGATACACATACACACACACATGCGCACACCCCAGTTCTAGTCTGTTCTTATTCACCCGGGCTCTAGGCCACTCTGGTGCCCTGCTCTGCCTTCTTTCTTCTCACCCTTGTAGTCGACTCCCAGACAACAAACCCCACACACTTTTCTGTCTTTATATGTCTCAGGGGGGTCTTCCAGCCTGGTTGCTTCGAGAACCAGATATTCGTCTGCGAACCTCAGATCCAGGTGAGTTGAGGCAAAAGGTTGAACACAGTCAAGAAGCTAACAATGATCCCAATGACATGGGTCATTTGGGTGTTCAAGGAGGCCCCCTGAAATTAGGAATCATTCACTCAGATTTGTTTGGTTCCCAGACAACACCCATTGGGCCATTGACTCTAGTTTTTGGCTCTTGTTTTGGATTTTTATTTTTTTTACTTTTTTTATTTATTTTTGCTTTTTTGGGTCACACCCAAAAATGCACAGGGGTTACTCCTGGCTCGTGCACTCAGGAATTACTCCTGGTGGTGCTCGAGGGACCACATGGGATGCTGGGAATCCAACCCGGTTCGGTCGCGTGCAAGGCAAACGCCCTACCTGCTGTGCTATCGCTCCAGCCCCCATTTTGGATTTTTATAATATTTGTTGTTTAGTTTGAGGGAGCCTGTCATGGCACTGCCTTTGCTCCTCTATCTCTCACATAATAGTCAGGGAGAGAGTAGGCTGGAAATGGGCCATTTTGGTGTAGGACTGCTTCTGCCATGGTAGGGGATTTCCTAAGTCTTATTCTAAGGTCTGAGAAAATCCTTCAGGGTTTAAGCACAGGTGTGACCCAGTCGGATTTGTTTTCAGAATCAGAATGTGTCTCAAGAGAGGGCAGGGTTGGGTGCTTGCCTTATACACAGCGGACACAAGTTTGACTCCAATATCCTATATGGTTCTGCCAGGAGTGATCCCTGAGCTCAGAGCCCGGAGTAAGCCCTGAGCACCACTGGTGTGGCCCCCAAACAAATAGAATCCCTGTAGCCTGACTGTGGAAAATGGACCAAGGGAAGTAAGCATGGAGGGAGAGAAGCTCTTTGGAAGACTGTGATAGTGTTGAGAGGAGAGACGAGAGTGACCGCAGACGATGGTCATGGTGGAAACGAAAAGGGGACAGAATCACAATATAGGATGGAGGAAAAAAAATCACTAGAACTTGATAGATTTGGGTTGGAAGAGGGGGCAGGGAGGAACAGTGTGGGAAGAGTCCAAACATTAGAATGCAAGAGTGTTGGTGTAGGACAAAATGTACAGTCTGTTTCCAAAGAAAACCAGCCAGCCATTCCTTGCTAGCTGATCCAGTAGCGTTCCACACGGTGGAGCACGTTGTCCTCCCGTTGCTCTAATCTTACGCTCCTCTGGACACTCTTCTGGTCCCCACCTTGCTTAAGGCCCCTCCCTGCCTTTTCAGTCTCTTACTGGCTCTCCTTCAGGTCCCTTTCTGCTCAGTGTTGGGGTGTTTCAGGGCTCCATCACCTCATCTGCTCACAGGGCACTCGATTCTAACAGGGCCATGAGTCAGCTCTGCACATGCAGGCCAAGTGTAGGCCTTGCACGTGGGAAACCCAGGGACGATCCCTGGCACGGCATGACTTTTCCAAGCAGTGCTAGGAGCACCCCCTGAGCACAGAATCAGCCAGTAGTCACCCCAAGCACCTCAGAAAACAATCTATCAATACATTCTGATAGCCAGTGACTGAAATACGTATTTCTAGGCAGAACCGTTAACTTCCTAAAGCAAAGCACGTACGCACGTACCCTATGTGACTTCTGCAGTTTGGAGGTCTAAATAAGGAAGACTAATAAGCCTGAGTTCCTGGTCCTTTTCCCAGACCAGCTCTTCTCGCATCTCCTCATTTCAGTTAATGATACCTCCATTTTTAAATTTTTAGACAAAATAGAGGTGTCATGATGTCCATGAACATGGTCTAAAGAGTCACATTCAACTCACATTCAGTCCAGCTGAAAACCCCATTTGCTTCTCCCTCCCAATATGTTGAATTCAACTATTTTTCCTTACTTCCACTGCCATCACTCTGGTCCACGCCACTTCCCTTCACAGGGTTTTTTTTTTTCACCAGCTTCCTAGCTGGCCTCTGTTCTCTCGCCTCACTCTCACGAGGTCCACTCTCAATAAAGTGGCCAGCGTGGTCCTATTAACATGTAAGAGAATGATACTTCTCAGATCATGGCACTTTCGTTTCAACCTCCTCCAATGAACACTCATCTTCAGAATATGCCCCCTGAATTCTGAAAATTGGATGTCCGGGTCCTCGCACCTTCACTGGTCCACCCCCAGCCACCCACTCTTCTCCTGGCACCATACACTGTCTTGGGGTCTTTTGTTTTGTTTTTGTTTGGGGGCCACACCTGGCAGTGTTCAGAGGTTGCTCCTGTCACTGCATTCAAGAACTGCTCCTGGTGGTGCTTGGGGGACCACATGGGATGCCAGGAATGGAACCCAGGTCAGCCGTATGCAAGGCAAGCACCCTCCCCACTGGACTATCGCTCCAGCCCCACCTTGTGGCTTTTCTCCCAGCCTCGGCCCCAGCCTGCTGTGAGGCTGTGCCTTTCAGTGCTTGCACAGTGAGGCTGGAGTGAGTTTCCTATCTGCTAGACTTTGCCCTCCTCAAGAGGGGGCCAGGCCACTCGTGGGACAGACCCAGGGAAACAGCCACAGGGATCAATGTTTAATGACCAGCGAAGTCTGTGAGGTGAGGGGGGAGGTGCCGCAGGAGAGCTTTGCCTAAATATTCAGGCATCAGGGGTCTTCCTGAGGAAGTGAAAAAGTAGACACGTGGAACCTGAGGGAGGTAAAGGAGGATGCGGGAGGAAGGACCAGCTCAGGAAAACTCTGAGGATGAATCACAAAAATCAGAGTGGGGGGTCAGAGAGAGCACTTGCCTTGCACGGCTGACCTGGGTTCAATCCTCGGCACCCCATGTGGTCCCCTGAGTCTGCTAAGAGTGAGCACAGAGCCAGGAGTAAACCCTGAATAGGCATATAGACGTCATTATAATTAATTTTCCTAAGATAGACCAGGAGTGACTCCTTAGTGCAGAGCCAGGAGGAACCCCTGAGCATCACAGACTGTGATGCCCAAAACAAAAAAGAAGAAATCAGGGTGGAGACTTGGTGGTGGCTGTCCACGGCCCGCCCAAGGATTAGGGCCAGTTCGCAGGTGGAGGAAGGTGAAAAGCCACTGATTTGAAGCAGGCCTAATGATCTGATAGTGCCACCTGGATGGGTCTCAGTAGGGGGCCTCCCCAGCCCCGGGTTGGTGGCCTAATCACTGCTCTCTAGGAGGCGTTGACCGTTCACAGACAAGGGGCGTGGCTTTACATACCCTCAAGTAAAATGCCACTTGCTGTGCCCAAGCCACTGTCCAGAGGGCTTGGGGTTGAGACTCTGGTTCCCAGCCAAGTTCCAGGGGCCCCTGACTCCGCCTTGCCTTGGGAGCGCTGATATGAGGGGTGGGGGCTACTGGGGGCAGCACCCCTCCCCCCCCTGAGCTGCTCCTTCCCCCCGCAGTCTTCCTGGAGGCTGTGGACTCCTGGTTCAAGATCCTGCTGCCCAAGATCTATCCGTGGCTCTACCACAACGGGGGCAACATCATCAGCATCCAGGTACGCGAACTCGCGCTGCTGTGCCGACGCCGGCGGGGCTTCTCGACGTTCTACCCCGCGGTCTCCTCTCTCTTGGCAGGTGGAGAACGAGTACGGCAGCTTCGGGGTGTGCGACACCAAATACATGAAGCACCTGGCCGGGCTCTTCCGGGCCATCCTCGGCAATGAGATCGTGCTCTTCACCACAGACGGGCCCGAGGGTCTCAAATGCGGTTCCCTGCAAGGGCTCTACACCACTGTGGACTTCGGCCCAGGTCTCCCGAGCCGGGGTTAGGAGTGGAGTCTGGGCCAAGGGGGGGGGGGCGCTAACTCTTCTATGCTCTTCATCTGTCACTTTTGCCTCCTGCCAGCAGCTGACAACATAACCAGAATCTTCTCCCTGCTGCGGAAGTATCAGCCCCACGGGCCGCTGGTGAGAAGGCAGAGGGGTGGGGTGTGTCCAGGAGGGGGCTCAGCGGGGAGCGGTTTCATCCCCCCCCCCAATCCCTCCGTGCTCACACACGGCCCCTTTCACTTCCATGCCAGGTGAACTCCGAGTACTATACAGGCTGGCTGGATTACTGGGGTCAGAACCACTCCACTCGGTCCATTCCTGCCGTCACCAGAGGTCTTGAGAAGATGCTCAGGCTGGGAGCCAGTGTGAACATGTAACGGGGACCGTCAGGAGGGTGTCGTGGGGTGTTGAGAACGAAAGCTCAGCCTCCCTGGCTCAGCATCTCCCTCCGCCCCGTTCCTGCAGGTATATGTTTCACGGAGGCACCAACTTCGGATACTGGAATGGTAAGTCTGGCTGGCCCCTGCCCCGGAAGCCCAGGGCAGGACTGAGAGTCGGCGGGCAGGATGGGGAAGCTGGAGTGACCCCCCTCTGCTCGGTGCCTGTCCTCCCCCGGGATAGCAGCGACCCTTCCCCTGTCTGACCTCAGGTGCCGACGAGAAGAGCCGCTTCCTTCCCATCACCACCAGCTATGACTATGACGCGCCCATCTCTGAAGCCGGGGACCCCACCCCTAAGCTCTTTGCGATTCGAAAAGTCATCAGCAAGGTGCTCCACCCCTGCCTTCAGCTTTGGCTAGTGCCGAGGCAGTGCCCAGATGTCTGGTCAAGGGACCAGAACCCAGGGGGTGGTTGTCTGGGCTACGGAGCCTTTTGAGCACCCCAAGGAAGGACTTGGGGGTCCAAATGGGGCCATCCACACTGGTGTGCAAAATCCTAACATAGTCAGGATCCCCCACATCCACCCTTGAACCCCAAGGACCCGCTCTAGGCTCTGGGAGTAAGGGTTTGTCATGTCGGTTTTCTGTGGCTCCTGAGACACAATTTGGCTCAGTTCCAGGAAGTTCCCTTGGGACCTCTACCTCCTCCCAGCATCAAGATGAGGCTTGGACCTCTTAGCATGCACATGGTAAGCTCCTCTCCAATTTCTCTCCAGTCCCACCTTTTGTTTCAAGCAGCCCACCATGCCCTGCATGTTCTGAAACCTCTCCTCCTTAATTCTAACAGATTGGGGAGTTGCTGACTTTCCTGTACTTCCTGTGCCCCGAAGGGCCCATCCGTTCCATTTTGCCTTTGACCTTTGAGGCTGTCAAACTGGTAAGGCACAAACCCACACCAAAGGCTATAGGCACCTCCCCCCCCACCTATCCCCGCACCATCTCAGGTGCTGCAGTTCACTCCAGTCCTGCAGTTTCCCACAGCATCCCTCTCTGTGGGGGTGGGGAGGCAGAGAAGGTAGTTAGGGGGACAGTTGGCAGTTTTCAGGGGCTGCTCCCAACTATGTGCTCAGGGGGTCAGGCCCAGCTGCAACTGCTTGCAACTCTGAGCTTCCAACCCAGTACCCCCCCCCCACACACACACCCAGTTTTCTATACCCAACGATGCTCAGGGTTCACTCTGGCCCTGCACACAAGGCAGCAGTCCTGGTGGCTCGGGGGACCATCTGGGGCGCTAGAGTTTAAACCCAGGTCAGAAGCATGCAGAGCAAGTGGCCCACTCAATACTCTCTGGCCCCCAGCATCCCTCTTTTCTCTCTCATCTTTTTTGGTTTAATGTGGTACCACTCCTTGAAGTGGCCTGAGGCTAGACCTGCTGCTCAGGGGATCCTGCAGAGCCAGGGATAGAACTCGGGGCTCCTGCATGCAAACGGGGCTCCCGCCCTTTGCACTGTCACCACTGTCCTCCCCCCCCCCCCCCCCAATCTGGCCTAGTCACCTTATGTCTCATTCCTTTACACCCAGGACCACGGCTTTATGCTGTACCAGACCTACCTGACCACGGCTGTCGAGGAGCTGACAGAATTCTGGGTGCCCAACAACGGAATCCATGACCGCGCCTACGTGCTCCTAGACGGGGTGAGAGCCCAGATGACCGGCTCTCTGGCGCGCTCTCCCGCCAGTGCTGCCTTTCCCAGCTGCCTGCTCACTTTCTGGGGGGCAGGAGGGTGGGGCACCATTCTCCCCGCCCAGTCTCAGGGCCCGTTCCCTTCTCCGCAGGTGTTCCAGGGAGTTTTGGAACGCAACATGAAAAATAAGCTCTTTTTGATTGGCAAAGTGGGAACCAAGCTGGACATCTTGGTGGAGAACATGGGCAGACTCAGCTTCGGGTCCAACAGCAGCGACTTCAAGGCAAGCTCCTTCCGCCCTCCTCTCCTCTCCCCTCCTCTCCTCCCCACTCTGGCAGCCCACACTCTTCCGACAGGTGCATGAAGAGGACATTCTGAGCCTTGCTCTTAGGAGAGGGCCAGAGAAGTTGGGTCGGGGCTTAGGGGACTCGGACGCTAGTGGTGAGGATATGTTCCAAGTCCTCCCAGGCTTGGAGCTTAGCGGGCAATGGGCGTCCGCCCATCTTCCCTCCAGGGCCTGTTGGAGCCGCCCGTTCTGGGCCAGATCACCCTGACCAACTGGCTCATGTTCCCTCTGAACGTGGACAAGCTGGTCAAATGGTGGCTGCCCCTCCAGCTGAAAAAACGGCTGCACCCACGTCGGCTTCCAAGTCCCTCCGGCCCTGTCTTCTTCTCCACGACATTTTCCATCTACAGCTCGGGCGGGGATACTTTCCTTTATTTACCCGGATGGACCAAGGTATTACGGTGGGCTCAGTTGGGGGAGGCAGGGGGTAGAAATGCTTCCTCTGGGGGGCTGGAGCAATAGCACAGCGGGTAGGGTGTTTGCCTTGCATGCGGCCAACCCAGGTTCGATTCCCAGCATCCCATATGGTCCCTGAGCACCGCCAGGAGTAACTCCTGAGTGCAGAGTCAGGAGTAACCCCTGTGCATTGCAGGGTATGACCCAAAAAGCAAAAAAAAAAAAAGAAAGAAAGAAAGAAAGAAAGAAAGAAATGACTCCTGAGTGGGAACTCAGAACTGAGAGGGCATCTCCCCGCGTGGGGCTGATTTTCTCCCCTCTCACCCCTTTCCTCCTAGGGCCAAGTCTGGATCAATGGGTTTAACTTGGGCCGCTACTGGACAAAACGGGGGCCCCAAGAGACACTGTATGTGCCCCGCCCCCTGTTCATGAAGGGGAGGCGCAACAGGATCATCCTGCTGGAGCTGGAGAACGTGCCCGCCAAGCCCCAGATCCAGTTCCTAGACAGGCCCATCCTCAACAGCACCTCGCATAAGACCTTCATCTACTCCCTCCTCACCGACACGCAAAGTGTCCCCGAGCCCATGGATTTAAGCGGGCACTGAAGGCGCAAGGGGGCCCAGGAGCTGGGGCGCGAGGAGTGACCGTCAGTCCGAGTGCGGGTTCTCCCGGCCGACCTTTATTGCGATTCAAGTTCCAGCGCCCTGTCTTTGCCCTTCGCCCTCGGGGTGGGGGGTCCCCCTCGGCCCGGGTCAGGACGCCGCCGCCCGCCCGCGATGCTCCCGGAGGCAGCGCGTGGAGCAGAAGGAGAAGTCCAGGTAGTGGAAGGGAACCAGGCCTTGGAGGGAGGCGCCGCAGCTCTGGCAGCGTCTGGGGAAAGAGGACAGTGACAGCAGAGGTCACTCCGCTCCCGGTCCCTTCCATCCCGGCCCTCCGCGCCCCTCGCCGGCAGCTCTTCCGGAGCACCTGAGCGCCTCGCAGCCATCCACAGCCTCTCCCGGTTCCACCCCCCCGCCCGCCAGCACCTGAGGCTCAGCCCCACAGTGCTCCCTCCACCTACCGGACGTTGTTCACTGTGGACTCAGGGACCGCGGGGCTAGGGGTTCCCAACTGGGCAGCCAGTCGGCGCTCGGCCGCCAACGCTCTCTGCGGGGGGTGGCAGGGGGAGAGAAGAGGGTGAGGACGGGGGGGTGCTGCTGGGCCGGGGGGACCCCTCGTGTGCCCTTAGGAAGGGACAGGCCCCTCCCAAACCCAAAGACATCTCGCCGCAGGGGTGAGGGCCGGGGCTGCACCTTCTCCCGGTCGCTGAGGGCGGCGAATCGCTCCCGCTCCTCCTGCTCCCGCCGCTCCTGCTCCTGTTGCTGCCGCTGCTGCTGCTCGCGCTGCCGGCGGGCCGCCCGCTGCTCCTTCTTCCGAGCCGCCCGCCGCGCCTCCATGGCCGCGCTCAGCGGCCCCGGCACCTGGGCGATGCCCGTCCCGGATGGGCGAGGTCAGAAGGCCAGATGGGCCCGGTGGGCGCCCCCGCCTGCAGCCCCCCTCACCCCTCACACCTGTGCCTTGCCATAATCGTGGGCATCCGGCTGCTGCTCCATGAACCGGCGGAACTCGCTGCGCGTGGACTTGTCCGCGGCCACCACATACGGCGGCCGGGCCTGGGAGTCCCTAGGTGTCAACACCCCAAAATAAATAAACACATGAATTCCGTCTGCCTCGGCCTCGCCCCCTCCCTCCCCCACGACCGCAGCTGACTTTATGGGCAACCCCTGAGCAACCTCCAGTGCTCCGGTCAGCGCACCCTGCACCCGAACTGTCCTCCCTGTCCCCCCAAGGGCTCGGCCTGGAATGTCTTACAGCATGGTGGGGTCGGCCCCGGCCTCCAGCAGCAGACGGACGACAGCGCCCCTCCCTGCAGCAGCTGCTGCATGCAGGAGGGTGAAGCCCCCAGGGCCCAAGGGGGTGTTGAGCAGAGACAGGACTTCGGGCTCCATGGGGCTGGCAGTCAGCTGGTGCCGCAGCACCCCGATGTCCCCAGCCCGGCAAGCTGCTAGGAGCTCAGCCCAGCGCTCAGGCTGGCCGGGGCTCTTGGCGTCTTCCAGTGGAGGCCCCTGGCCTGTTGCCACTGGTGCTGGAGCTGGCTGGGACCCCATGTCCATGTCGTGGGGAGGCAGGGGCAGATGCGGAGTCCCGGCCTCCACGTCTCGGCTCCTCTCCTTCTTATTCCTCCTCCTTCGCCTCCGCTTGGGCAACACTTCAAACTCCCGAAGGCCCAGGGTTCCCAGCGTCAACTCGACCAGCTCCAATTCAACTGGGCAGTCATCCTCTCCCTCTGACCCCGAGCCTAGGGAGAAATCAAGCAAGTCAGCACCCCCACCCCGGAGAGTCAAAGTAGAAGAAAGAATGGGGGGCTGGCCCAGAGGCTTAGGGGTGCCTGTGAAACGATAACCCAAGGCCCAGAGAGATAGCACGGCAGATAAGGCCCCTGCGCTACATGCAGCCGACCCGAGTTCGATCCCCAGCACCAGGAGTGACCCCTGAGCACAGAAGGGCAAGCCCTGAATGCTGGGGAGTAAATCCTGAGCACTAACACCGCCCCTCCCCCCAAAAAAGATAAACCAAAAAGATAATCCAGATAATCTTGCAAGGAATCAAAATGTGGATATTCTGCCATTCCACATGAAGTAGCACAACGGAAGTGGAGTCCAGGAGTTTTGCATGAAGACACCAAGTGTTGAGTCCAGGGAAGGCCCAGAGAGCTAGGCAGGGTCAGGTGCCCTTGGTCACTTCCTTGAGTGGCCTCAGAACCACCCAACACTGATGCAAAGGTCAAAAGTCTGCTGCTAGGGATGTAGGCTTAGCCCCAAACAGAGCATCCGGTGGCAGGGAGGACAGGGATTAAGGCATTTGCTTTGCAGGCAGTTGACCCCCATTGGATCCTGAGCACTTCCAGGTGTGGTTGCCCCATCCCCCATCCCCCCAAATATCCAAGCAGAGCACTGAAAGACAAGGTCACTTATGTGAGGTTCAGGCCACACCCAGTATGGCCTCTGCTTTGTTCTCTTCCATGCATTCAGGGACAGAAGACAGAACAGGGGTTGGAGCGATAGCCCAGTGGGGTAGGCATTTGCCTTGCATGCGGCTGACTGGGGTTCAATCCCGGGCAACCCATATGGTCCCCTGAGCACCACCAGGAGCAATTCTTGAATGCAGAACCAGAAGGAACCCCTTAGCATCGCTGGGTAAGACCCCCCAAAAAAGAGGGGGGGGGAAACAGGCAGGCTAAGAAGGCGCCTGAACATATTACAGTGTCCACTGCCACAAGGCCTACATTAGAAATGTGTGTGTGTCTGTCTATCTGTCTGTCTGTATGTACAGAGGGGAGTAGGAAGAAGAGGAAGGAAAGTACATTTCCAAGACTGGCCCTAGATGAAGATTGGACAAGGACCCTGCAGGTCTCAAACCTGCCTTGGCAGGAAAACAAACAAACAAACAAACACACACAAATAACCTGGCTCGGCAGAATCCTCCCTGTGCTGCTGCGGGGCCATGTTGCTGTCGCCGGGAACTTGGCTTTCTCCCTGGACATCCTTCTTCCTCTCCACCGCTGCCTTCCAGTGTCTCTGAGTCCCTTCAGACCCAGCTGACTCCCATGGATCTTCACCTGCCGTCGAATCAAATCAGAGATTTGTTCCCTTGTACCTGCCTGGACCTCTGCCTGCCCGGGGTCGGGGCAGCGTCTGGTGGCGCACGTGACCCGGGGTGCCCAGCGCCAGGCTCACCGTGGATCAGCAAGGTGGTCAGTTTGTGGAGCACACGCTGGAGCTCTCGGAAGGTGGGTCTGCGGGTAGTGAGGGGGATATCCCAGAGTCGGGGATCCCCCCTTTGTAGGGGTGCCCTATGTCCTCCGAAGAACAAGGACCGGCCTGAGCGTGGGGCACGAAGCAGTACTGTCCCAGCCTCCCCCAGTGCCTTAGCCCAGACCGGCCCTGCCAGCAGGTTCCGAACGTCCTAGGGGAGAGAGGCATTCAGCCCTGCCTGGCGTGTATCACGCTAACATCCAACCGAGAAATGGCCCACCAGTGGGGTGCGGGGACCCGGAGGGGGAAGAACGAGAGGACGAAGACCCTTGGGGGGGATCCCTCCCTCGCCTGCCCCTGGATCATGGGAGAGCAGAAGCATGAGTTGGTGGGGGTTGGGGCCCGTGGGTGGGTGGGGGGCGCCCAGGGGGCTCACCTGGTAGAGCGCGGCTTCATTGTGGCGCCTCAGACTGGCTCCAGCCGAGCGGCAGGCCCCGCCCCGGGCATCCTGCACGCTCTGGGCTGTGCCCCGTTTGGCCCGCACCGTGTAGCGGTGGAAGGTTTTGTGTGTCACCACTTCTCTTCTGGGGATGGCACACACTCAGTCCCGAAAGCAACTGGTCCTCAGGATCCGCTCCACCCTCTTCCCCTGCAACTGCCACCACCACTCCCACGCCGCCGCCCACAGCACCTCCTCCTCCTCCTCTCACCCCTGGAAGATGGCACCGGCAAAATGCCCGGCAGCTGCCATCAGCACCACACAGGTCCTGGCAGTCCCGCTCTGCAGGTTCTGGAGTAGCATCTCTGCCTCCTCAGGGGGCGCCTGGATGGGAACGGAGCAGCACAGACACCCTATCTGTTACATCCGGGGGCTGTGGGGGACCCACGACCAGTGCTTGGGGGCGAAGGGCGCTTCGTGGGCTCTCAGTGACACCCCATCCTGCGGTTTGTCTCTCTTTTACAAATTAAGGCAAATTAAGGGGGCGGGAGCGATAGCACACCAGGTAAGGCATTTGCCTTGCACGCGGCCTACATGGCCGACCCGAGTTCGATTCCTCCGCCCCTACTGGAGAGCCCGGCAAGCTACCAAGAGTCTCTCGCCCGCACGGCAAAGCCTGGCAAGCTACCCATGACATATTCGATATTCGCTATGCCAAACACAGTAACAACTGTCACAATGGAGACGTTACTGGGCCCGCTCAAGCAAATCGATGAACAGCGGGAGGACAGTGACTACAAATTAAGGACCTTCAGCATGGTCTCAAGAGCAAACAGTGGGGACCACAGCACAAACCCGGCCCGGCTGCTGTTCTGAGCTTTCGGTCCCTCGCCCCACACCCTTCTGAGATTCAGGGCAGCTCCGACAGGAAGGAAGAGGGGGTAGGGCCCAGGGGAGACTGAGGCTGAGAGGACAAAGGGACCCACAGCCTGGGCTGTTACCTTTCGAGGGTCCAGGACACAGCGATAGGCAGAAAGGAACTGGCCCTGGGCATTCTGGAAAAGAAGCTGATGTGGCTGAAAGCCTTGGGGCCGGCCGGGCTTCTCGTGCTCAACCTTCTCCTCTGCCAGTGTCTGGTCGTCCTCATCACTGGTCGAGTCGTCGGAGTCTTCTGACCCTGAGATGCTGGAAAGTTCTCCTGAGGACAAGATGGACACAAGGGTGAGAATCCACCTTGTTTTTTCTTTTTTTTTTTTGCTTTTTGGGTCACAACCGGTGATTTACAGGGTTACTCCTGGCTCTACACTCAGGAATGTCTCCTGGCAGTGCTCAAGGCACCATATGGGAGGCTGGAAATCAAACCCGGTCAGCCGCGTACAAGGCAAGTACCCTACCCACTGTGCTATCACTCCAGCGCCTTTTTTTTGGTGGGGGTGGGGGGAAGTAGGGTATGGGTATGGGACCACCCTTGGGGGTCCTCAAGGCTTGACTCCTGGTTCTGAGCTCAGGGATAACTCCTGGTGATGCTCAGGGTACCCTATGCAATGCTAGGAATCAAACTGGCATTGGCTGTGTGTCAGGCAATCGTTCCTAGCCTTGTTCTTTCTCTCTAGTCCCAGTTTTTATTTAGGGTTTGTTTTCAGGCCACACCCAGCAGTGCTCAGGGGTTACTCCTGGCAATGCTGGGGGACCATATGGGATACCAGGGGTCGAACCCAGGTGGACGCCATGTAAGGCAAACATCCTACCCACTGTACTATTGCTCTGGTCTCCTGGCCCCGGTCTTAAAATTTATGTGTGTGCTGCTGGAATTTTATTTTATTTAAAAAAAACTTTTTTTTGGCGGGGGAGAGTCATACCTGGCAGTGGTCAGGGCTTACTCCTGGCTCTGTGCTCAGGAATAATACTGGTGGAGCTCAGGAACCATATGGAGATCAAACCCAAGTTGAACATATTCCAGGCAAGCATGTTACCCATGTATCATTGCTCTGGCACCAAGTGCTGAAATTTTTATGTATGAAACCATACTGTACTCGTTTTATAAACCACGGTCTTAAAATTTTTTTTTGGGGGGGGGGGCTGGAGCGATAGCACAGTGGGTAGGGTGTTTGCCTTGCATGCAGCCAACCTAGGTCCAATACCCAATATCCCATATGGTCCCTCGAGCACAGCCAGGAGTAATTCCTGAGTTCCTGAGTGCATGAACCAGGAAAAACCCGAGCATTGCCAGGTGTGACCCAAAAAGCCAAAAAAAAAAAAAAAAAAAAATTTTTTTTTTCAAATTGGGCGGGTGTGGCAGGAGAGATAGTAAGAGTAGGGCCTTTGCCTTGCACATGACCAACCCAGGTTCAATCCCTGGCATCATGTATCATTTCTTGAAACAAGCCAGGAAGAAGCTCATAGCACTGCTGGGTGTGGCCCCAAAACAACAACAAAAAGAATTAACAAAAATATTTTAAAACTTTCTACATTGTGTGGCTGGAAAAATAGCACAGGGGGTAGGGCGTGTGCCTTGCACACGGCCGAACCGGTCGATTCCTGGGTTCGATTCCCAGCATCCCATATGGTCCCCTGAGCACCACCAGGGGTAATTCCCGAGTGCAGAACCAGGAGTAGCCCCTGAGCATTGCCGGGTGTGACCCAAAAAGGAAAAAAAAAACTTTCTACATTGTTTGGGGGCTCATTTTCTACTTTAATTTGTTTTGGGGTTACACCTGGTGGTGCAGAGGAACTACCCTCGCTGTGGGGCCTGGGGGTCACTCCCAGCATTGCTGGAAGATCACACAGCACCAGGGATGGAAGTCAGGCTACCTGGGGGTCCCTCAGCCTGTCGTACTGTTTCTCCACTGCAGACTTCTCCTTCAACCCCCAGACAAGGGCCTTCCTCCACCCCCTGTTCTGTCCTTCAGGTTCCCCCAAGCCTTGCCTGCAGAACTCTGCCGTTCGAAGTCCACGGCAGACAGAAAAGGCTTGTCCTTGAGACGCTGCTTCAGGTTGAACCGGTGCCAGTCAAGCTTATAATGTTCCCTCTGGCAGGAAAAGAAGGCAAAGGGTGCAACTGAGTCCCAGTCTGGCCTTGGCGGGGAGCCACACCCAGAAAGAGAGCTCCAGGAGGCCAAAGCAGGTGACCCCAAGTGCCAGGATCCAAGGCCTGCTCGAAACTGCCAACGACAAATCAAACGTCTGCTGCTACTCACCCACCACGCTGCTTCTTGCTTCTGCCATGCAGCTCTGCCCTTGGTCTTACCTGTTCCTGATGGTTCTGGAAGGACTGCTGACAGGTTGAACAGAATAACTTGTCCGAAATTTCCAGAGGTTTTCTTTCTGGGTTCACTCTCTCCTCTGGACCTAAATAAAGGGAGGGTAATTTACAAGATGAAAGGGAGCCCACGTCCATGACTTCCTTTAATCACCTCCTGTGTCCTGTTTATCACCTTCTGTGTCTTGAAGCAGAACCCCAGAGGGGGCTCAATGGGCTGGGCACAGGCTCTGGGTACAGAAAGCTCAGGTTCTAACAAGGAGGAAGTCGTTCCTGGGAACTGTTGGGTGTGGCCCCCAAATATACATTTTAATTATTCGTTCTTTTTGGGTCACACCCGGCGTTGCACAGGGGTTACTCCTGGCTCTGCACTCAAGAATTACTCCTGGCGGTGCTCCTGGGACCATATGGGATGCTGGGAATCGAACCCAGGTCGGCCATGTGCAAGGCAAACCATGTGTAGTCCTACCCGCTGTGCTGTCGCTCCAGCCCCAAATATAAATTTTTATTTATTTTTTGCTTTTTGGGTCACACCCAGCAATGCACAGGAATTACTCCTGGCCATGCTTGGGGGACCATATGGGATGCTGGGAATTGAACCCGAGTGGCCGTGTGCAAGGCAAATGCCCTACCTGCTGTGCTATCACTCCAGCCCCAATATAAATTTTTAAATAGGGGCTGGAGAGAGAGCTCAAGGCTCTGGGTACTACAGTGTGTAGCCCAAAATACCAAAACGGGAGACAAAAAAAAAAAAGGGGGGGGGGGGAATATCAAAAAGGGATGACTTATTCTCATGTTTAAGGAATTTACTATATAGTTATGAAATAAATGCCATGACAGTCAAAAATATGTGAGCTGGGAAGATGGTCCAAAGGGCACGATCCAAAGCCAGGAGGATCCCAGGAGTGTACAATGTCCTGGGCACTTTCCAGAGGCTCCAGGAGCTGACTCTAGTGCCAGGGTGTGGCCAAAAGGCAGGAAGTAGATAAATATGCTGGGTGGAGAGCTAGGGCAGATGGGTGTAGCTCACTGGCTGGGCAACCCTGAGTCAGAGCCTGGGCCCAATGCCCCACCAAGAGAACTCGTGTGGATCTGGTGGCTTCCAGAACCACACTGGGGACTGGCTTCCCAGCTCCCAAGCACCGCCACACCCCCTTACCCTGCCCCCCCTCCAAAAAAAAACTTCTGGGAAAATGAGTCAACAATGTATTAAATGAGTCAACAATATATTAAATTTAAGGAACCATTTAGAAGGAGGCCTGTAGAAAATACTTTTTGGTAACATTCAAATTCTGTTTTTTGCTGCCAAACCATTCCCCAAGTGTCAGATTTTTAATTTACATTTTCAACAGCAGCTTCCCATAAAATCATGGCTGGAGATAAGCTAAAGAATAAAACCAATGATCGATCGTTACACATGCACTCAAGAGGATGATTTTGCTTTTTGGGTCACACCCGGCGATGCACAGGGGTTACTCCTGGCTCATGCACTCAGGAATTACCCCTGACTCAGGATGCTCAGGGGACCATATGGGATGCTGGGAATCGAACCCGGGTCTGCCGCGTGCAAGGCAAACACCCTACCCGCTGTACTATAGCGCCTTAAAAAAATTAGAATGTAGGACTTTCCTCGAAATATAGGAATTCTGCAGTGCTTCTGCACGCAGCTGGCGTTCCTAAAATCGGGCGTGAACAAAGGCGAGAAATTTGTTGTTGGGAGACAATGAGGGGAGGGGGTGGGGGTGGGGGCTAGGCTGGAAACAGCCCAGAGGAGTGCGTGCATTTAAGATGAATTCTATCTAGTGGAAAGAGAATGTTTCGTGGGCATCTCGAGGTTGAGTATGAATTAAGTAGGTGCGCTCCTAAGAGCCTCGTCACTTTCCTCGTGGGTCCGCCCCAAGTCTTCCACCCCACCCCCACCCCCTACCTGGACCGGAAGTCCGCAGAGCCTGCACCAGCGCCTCGCCGGGAACGTGGCTCACCAGGCTCAGGCCCTGAAGAACCGGAGCATCAGCGTTGAGGTCAAACAGGGACACGGACACAGGAGCCTGGGCTGCCGGAGCTGGCGACATGGCGGGGCAAAAAAAAGGACTGGGAAACAAATCGGGGAGCAGAAAGTGGTGGTGGGGGGGGAGCAACAGATCTTCCCAAAGTCGGCGTCTCCTGCCTCGCCGGATCAGGTGTTTCCCCCACGCCCCAGGAATCCTTTGCCAGGTGTCAGCGGGGGGCGGTAAAAGTGCCGACTCGCCGTCGCAGAGCGCCCAAGAAATAGTGTCGAATTCCCAAACCGAGTCCGATCGAGTGAGGCTTCACGGGCGGGGAGGCTCCCTCACCGGGCCAAGAGAGCCTCGTGGAGTCCACCCCGCCCTCCGAAGCCGCCCCAAACGCTCCCGGAGAGCCGAGCGTGCGGCGCACCAGCCCCACAGTTCCAAGCCCGGATTTTTGCAACACAACAAATCCCGTCACTACGGAGCGGCGCAGAGGACAAACAAGCGGCGCCCGCGCCGGAGCCCCGCCCCAGAGCTGGCTCGCTATTGGTCGCGGGGGATCCCAAGACCCGCCTCGAGCGTCTAGTCCCGCCCCCGAGGCCGCTAATTGGCAGTCGTGTCTCCACCCCCCACACTCATTGGCCGGAAGAGCCGCGGGTGACAGTGAGTGGCAGACGGCCGGCCTAGCGCTCCGGGTCGGATGAGCCCCGCCGTGCCGCCGGAGCCCCTGGAATCACCCGGGTCACACCGTTCCTGGGGTGAAACGCGAGACCGGTTACTGGAGCCCGGGGCCCTAGACCGCGCCCGATCGGGGGTGCCCCGCGGAGCCCGGGGAGGTGGGAGCTCGCGGCAGGTAACGGGGAAAGGGGCGCCGCGGGCGGGGCGGGGGCGCGCAGCCGAAATGTTTTGGTAGCGAGGGCGCGCGGGTGGGGGCGCGCGCGCGCGGGCCGCGGGGGCGCGCGCAGCCTTGTCCGCTGTTGGGAGCCGAGCCCTTGGCCTGGGGCCGGCCACCCCGGGGGGCGCGCTGGACTCTGGTGGTGGTGGCGGCTGGGTGTGGGGAGGCAGCCCAGCCCACCTAGGGTGTCATCTGCGGGGCTGGCTCGGTCCCTCCAGCATCCCCCCGGAGCCCCTGAGCTCAGGCCCGGCCGTCTGGGGCTCCATGGACCCCGAGCCCACATCAGCGGGGTGAGTAGCGAGTTCCGAGAGGGTTTTGGGGGCAGCCCCTTTGGACCCAGGACTCGTACTGACCCGGGAGAGCCCACAGGGACCGGGGGCCGGACCGGGATCGGCGCCCCGGGCTCTGCACCCGGCTTGGGGAGCGCCCCCTAGACCATTGCTCGGCTCCAGGGACCCCACTCAGGCCGGTTCTCCGAGGTCTCTACCGCCTCCTTCCCTCATCACTTCCCCAGCCAGGCGCTGGGCCGGCCTGCTGGGTCTCCCCAGGGAAGCCGGGAAGGGAACAGACAAGGGAACAAACCAGAAAGATCCTCTCCGGAGAGGGTTTGGGGGGACATGGAGGCTTGTGGACCCCAAGAACCTGTCTGGTTTCAGAGACAGAAGACAGTGGCAACGGAGGAACATTGGCAGGGTTGAACCAACCCTGTCTTCTGTTTTTGTTTTTTTTTTTGGTTTTTTGGGGTTTTTTTTGTTTTCTGTTGGAGACACACACGGAGCTTTTGAAGGCTCCGTGCCCCCACAGCGGGGTTGATTCCAGTTGGTGCTCAGCTGCACAGCTGGAGTCTAACTGGAGCCTCCTGTGTACCCAAAATGCACGCATGTCTCCCAGCAAGAAGCTACTTCTCAGATTTCTTTGCTGAGTGCGACAACCTGCATGAGTGGAACCCACAGCTGGAAGGGGCCTCTGCCCAGCCGCAGCCCTTTTTTTTTTTTTCAGTTGTTGTTAGTTTTAGTTTTGGTTTTGGGGCCACATCAGGCCATGGCCAGAGGTTACTCCTGCCTCTGCACTCCGGAATCACTCCTGGCGGTGCTCAGGAGACCAGATGGGATGCCGGGGATTGAACCTGGGTCGATATGCAAGGCAAGTGCCCTCCCCGCTGTACTAATGCCCCCCCCCCGGCATCTTTTTTTTTCTTTTGATCTCTTTTTTCTATTTTTCATTTTGTTTGGGGTGGGGGGCACACCTGCCGGTGCTCAGGGCTTTCTTCTGGCTCTGCACTCAAGGATCCCTCCTGGCAGGATTCAGGGGATCATGTATGGTGCCAGGAATTGAGCCTTGGCTCAGCCTTGTGCAAGGCAAGCACCTGTGGCTCCAGCCCCTAAGGGCATCCTTTCCTTGGAGTGTGGGTGGCACGAGGGTGAGGGGGGCGAGGGGGAGGGCTGCTGTCTGTCCCCCACTGTGCCCTCGCTGGCATCTGACACCTTCTCCTCCAGCAGTTGCAGAGCCAGGGCACCGCAGGCTGGAGTGGAGCGACACTGTCCATGGAGCTGGTAGGGGCCCGCGCTTCTCTCTTCGACCTTTGCTTCCAAAGTGCTTCTGGAGCAGGGTTTTCCCCGAAGGGCAGAGGGAGGGACCCTTCTCTGGACTGAAAAAGCAGGAAAAACAGCCCATCCCGTCTCCCCACCACCACCACCATTTCCCTGGAGGCTTGAGTCTAACTTCAGGCTGGCGACTGAGTCCAGCTCGGGGCCGTCCCCTCCTCGTGGATGGTGGCTGCTTCTCGTCTGTCTTGGGGCCGAGAAGACAACCTATAGGCCCAGCCGGAGGGCGCCGTCTTCCTTCTTCTGGCCTGGCCGATAAGCCGCCCTCGGGCTGAACCTGGGTCTCTTCTTCCTCGTGGCCGGCAGGTGGACCAGGCGGCTAGGGGTTGGAGGTGGTGATGGCGCAGTTTGACACGGAATACCAGCGCCTAGAGGCCTCCTACAGCGACTCACCCCCGGGGGAGGAGGATCTGTTGGTGCACGTGCCGGAGGGGAGCAAGTGTGAGTGGGGGGGGGCAGGACCGTGGGAGTTGGGGCCTGGGCTGGGGGGAGGAAGGTGGGGAAGCAGGATGGGGTGGGGGGGGCTTATGTTGTTTGAGGGTTCTGACTTCTCTCTCCTCCCATGTCCACAGCACCTTGGCACCATATTGAAAACCTTGACCTCTTCTTCTCTCGAATATCCTTGGCATCTGTGTGACAGTGATCTTTAGCTGGTGGGGAGCCGGGCGGGAGTGTATGTGTGTGTGGGGAGGGAGTTGATGGTAATATCTCTGGAAGAGGACCAAACCTCTCTTGAGGCTGATGGTGGTACCCCCTGTTCCGGCGGGCTGTGTGCTTGGGCCTTGGTGGGTTCATTTATAAGGAGCTGTTCTCGGCGTGGGCCTCCAGAGGGGATGCTACTCACTACAGCAATTAGTGTCTTTTTTTTTTTTTTAATTCGTTCTGTGTCGGCTCTGGGTAAAATAATTTATGTGCGTGATCTCAGACCTAATGAGCCTGTGAGTCAAGTAGGAGCTATTATTCCCAGTAGACCGTTGCAGACAAGAGCTTTGAGAGGTTAAATAACTTGGCCACAGTCACTCGGCCTTAGAAGGCCCCAGAGCCAAGGCTTGAGCCTAGATGTATGACAAGGAAGATGATCCCCCCCTTACCCCATCCCCACCCTCATTGCTGTGTCACTGCTTGTGTTTGCTTAACAATCGTTCGCACGTTTATAACCTCCACCAGAAGAATGGCTTCACTTGCATGCTCATCGGAGAGATCTTTGAGCTCATGTAAGTAGATGAAAAACCACCCCAGGGGCTGGAGTGATAGTCCAGCGGGTAGGGCACTTGCCTTGCCTCCATCCAACTGGGTTTGATTCCCAGCACACCAGTATGGTCACCTGATCCCGCTAGGAGTGATCCCCGAGCACAGAGCCAGGAGTAAGCCCTGAGCACTGTCACGTATAGACCCCAAAAAACAAAAACAAAGAAACTCATCCCAGACTTCCCCCTCACCCTGTCCTGTCCGGCCTGCCTGGCCTTGTCTGGCCCTGCTGGGTGGTTCAGCTCAGACTGTGCCTGTAAAACTAGCAGAACTTTGTTTGTTTCTTTGTTTTGTTTTTGTCTTGGGGCCACACCCAGCAGTGCTCAGGGCTTAATCCTGGCCCTATACTCAGGAATCACTCTGGGTGGTGCTCAGGGGACCATGGGGGATGCGGGAGATGAACCCGGGTCAGCCACACACAAGATCAGCGCCTTCCCCGCCTGTTTCATTGGTCTAGCTGCCCCTTGATTTGCTAGAGCTCAGAGACTAGGTTGGGCCACGCAACCTCACAGCCTCCCCTTTTGATTGTGTGTGTGTGCGCGCACACACACATTCGTGCGTTGCTGGGTCACCAGAAGGGGTGCTAGAGATGGAGCCTGGGTCAGCCGCATACAAGGCAGGTGCCTTATTGTATTATTGCTCCAGCCCTAGCATCCTCCCCTCTTTGAGTCAAACCCAGTCCTCTCAGCGACGTGGGCTGCTCAGGGTTCAGCCAGCCTCTCCCACGCGCCCATCACTTACTGAGGAAAGTGCCTTTGTCCTGTCGTGGTGGCAGCCTAGTCCCACTGCTGGCAGAGGAAGAAGCCCTTATGGCCTTGTCCGAGGGGAAGGGGTTGAGAAACTTTCCCTCAGGAGCAAAAGAGTCCAGACCCAGGGCTGGAGCGAGAGCACAGCTGGTAGGGCGTTTCCCTTGCACGTGGCCGACCCAGGTTCGATTCCCAGCATCCCATATAGACCCCCGAGCACTGCCAGGAGTAATTCCTGAGTGCAGAGCCGGGAGTAACCCCTGTGCATCGCTGGGTGTGACCCCCCCCACAACCTCCCCCCCAAAAAAAAAGTTCAGATCCCCAGAGGACATCTAAATCATCAAAAAGAAAATGGAGGTGGGGGGGGGGGGGGTTGTGGACCAAACATCAGTCACAAAAGCTTAAAAATGTGGGGCTGGGGGGATGGAGCAATAACACAGTGGGTAGGGCGTTTGCCTTGCATGCAGCCGACCCAGGTTCGATTCCCAGCATCCCATATGGTCCCCCGAGCACCACCAGGAGTAATTCCTGAGTGAAAGAGCCAGGAGTAACTCCTGTGCATTGCCGGGTGTGACCCAAAAAGAAAAAAAAAAAAATAGTGGGGCTGGAGCCCTAGTCCAGCAGGTGGGGTGTTTGCCATGCATGTGTCCCACTGGGGTGTCAAAGTCCCCCAGGCCCTACCTGAAGTCCCCCAGGCCCTACCTGAAGTCACCCCTGCGCGCAGAGCCAGGAGTAAGCCCTGAGCACTGCTGGGTGTGGCCCCCAGACAAAATGGAGAGGAAATGGAGACAGTCCTGGTGAGCTGAGCCTGAGGCTTGGACCACCCCTGGGAGCTTGTCAGGACCTAAAAAGGGGCCTCGGGTCTGGGCTCCGAGAGCACTACCCCCAGGAGTCGAGCAGCCCCTCCATTCCTCCAGAGCTGCTCCCCATGCCCCTTCTGCTGCACCCAGACCCTTCTTCCCAGGGCCACGGGGGCCCATGGACTCTCGCACCGCTCCCCTCTTCCCACCCCGCAGGCAGTTCCTCTTTGTGGTCGCCTTCACCACCTTCCTGGTTAGCTGTGTGGACTACGACATCCTCTTTGCCAACAAGATGGTGAACCACAGCCTTCACCCCACCGAGCCCGTCAAGGTCACCCTGCCCGATGCTTTTCTGCCAGCCCAAGTCTGCAGTGCCAGGTGAGGGGAGCCCGGAGGCCCACGTACAGGTGGCTGAGACCATCCCTCACACTCTAGAAATGTTGAGAACACAGACCCAGCCACCCCTCAGGGCCTGGAGCCATAACACAGTGGGTCAGGAGTTTGCCTGGCACACCGCCGACCCGGGTTCGATCCCTGAGACCACATATGGTCCCTTCAGCTTTGCCGGGTGTAATTCCTGAGTGCAAAGCCAGGAATAACCCCCTGGGCATCGCCCGGTGTGAAAGCCAGAAAACAAAACCAAAACAGAACGAAAAAAAATACAGAAGCAGCTTCCCCAAAGCTTCCATGCTGCTACGGCATGTGGGCCTGGGGCTCTTCCCTGATCACCCCTCTTGCCCGTTCTCCCCCTAGGATTCAGGAAAATGGCTCCCTTATCACCATCCTGGTCATCGCCGCCGTCTTCTGGATCCACCGGCTTATCAAGTTCATCTATAACATTTGCTGCTACTGGGAGATCCACTCGTTCTACCTGCATGCCCTGCGCATCCCCATGGTGAGGCCGGGACGGAGGCGGGCGGGGAGGGGGGGAGGACCCACCCGGCCGTTACCCCACGGCCCGCTTTTGTGGTCAGAGAGGGGCAAGGTGTGTGTGCATGGGGTGGGGTGGGGGCCAGGCCTCTCGCTGCTGGGAGGTCCCCCCTCAGCTCCCGCCACCCCTCACCTCGCGCCCCTTGTCTCCTCCCCCCGCCCATCCCAGTCCGCCCTGCCCTACTGCACGTGGCAGGAAGTGCAGGCGCGGATCGTGCAGACGCAGAAGGAGCACCAGATCTGCATCCACAAGCGCGAGCTGACCGAGCTGGACATCTACCACCGCATCCTGCGCTTCCAGAACTACATGGTGGCGCTGGTCAACAAGTCGCTCCTGCCGCTGCGTTTCCGCCTGCCGGGCCTGGGCGAGGTGGTGTTCTTCACACGGGGCCTCAAGTACAACTTCGAGCTCATCCTCTTCTGGGGCCCCGGCTCGCTCTTCCTCAACGAGTGGAGCCTCAAGGCCGAGTACAAGCGCGGCGGGCAGCGGCTGGAGCTGGCCCAGCGCCTGAGCAGCCGCATCCTGTGGATCGGCATCGCCAACTTCCTGCTGTGCCCGCTCATCCTCATCTGGCAGATCCTCTACGCCTTCTTCAGCTACGCCGAGGTGCTGAAGCGCGAGCCCGGGGCGCTGGGGGCGCGCTGCTGGTCGCTGTACGGCCGCTGCTACCTGCGCCACTTCAACGAGCTGGAGCACGAGCTGCAGTCCCGCCTGAGCCGCGGCTACAAGCCCGCCTCCAAGTACATGAACTGCTTCCTGTCGCCGCTGCTCACGCTGCTGGCCAAGAACGGCGCCTTCTTCGCCGGCTCCATCCTGGCCGTGCTCATCGCCCTCACCATCTACGACGAGGACGTGCTGGCCGTGGAGCACGTGCTCACCACCGTCACCCTGCTGGGGGTCACCGTGACGGTGTGCAGGTGGGGCGCCCCGCCCCCCTCTCTCCCCCGCCCCGCTCGCCCCTCCCCCCGCCCCGTGCCCAGGGAAGCCCACCCCGGGCTCACTGGGCAACCTGCCCGTCCCCCACCCTCCACCCCGCCAGGTCCTTTATCCCGGACCAGCACCTGGTGTTCTGCCCCGAGCAGCTGCTCCGTGTGATCCTCGCCCACATCCACTACATGCCTGACCACTGGCAGGGTAATGCCCACCGCTCACAGACCCGGGACGAGTTTGCCCAGCTCTTCCAGTACAAGGCAGTGAGTGGAGTCAGAGTTAGGGGCCTGCTGGAGACTGGGCTGGTCGCCGCCGGGCACAGGGAGGAAGGGAGGGAGGGAGGGGTGCCAGGGAGTTTTCCCCCCACCCCAACCCCCTTCTCCTGCGCCCTACTCTCGCCTGACCTGGGCGCCCGCTGCACCCCGCCCCTCTCAGGTCTTCATCCTGGAGGAGCTGCTCAGCCCCATCGTCACGCCCCTCATCCTCATCTTCTGCCTGCGCCCGCGGGCCCTGGAGATCATCGACTTCTTCCGCAATTTCACCGTGGAGGTCGTTGGCGTCGGGGATACCTGCTCCTTCGCGCAGATGGACGTCCGCCAGCATGGACACCCCCAGGTATGGTGGTGGACACCGGGAGAGGAGCGGGGGTGGGGGGGCAGAGGGCCCCGAGACCAGGCTGACCCAGAGAGGACTTTGGGGAGGTGCCCGTGCTCTGCCTCAAGGCACATCCACCCCTCCCCACCCCACCACCACCACCAGGGCCTGTTTTTGTTTGGTTTGGGGACCACAGCTGATGGTACTCGAGGCTTGTTCCTGGCTCTGTGCTCCTCAGACATCACCCTGGCAGTACTGGGGGTGCAGGGGGAAGGCCATATGTGGATGCTGGGGATCAAACTCGGGCCATATCTGCTGGACTATCGCTCTGCCCCCTGTGTTTTTGGTTTTGCTGGTGCCAGGGATGGAACCCAGAGTCACGCAAGCAAGGCAGCCAGGGCCAATAGGGCTTTGGGTAAACTGCTGAATAGTGGCCCAGCCCGGCCTCCCCTCCCCCTGCCCCGGGGAACACACTGCTTCTGAAGCACTGTTGCATTTGCACCCGTGTCAAGTTTCCTTCAGGCCCTAGGTGTGTCCCTGGGACCAGGGCCAGCCGTGTGTTATGGTCACTGCCATCCGGAAGCAAGGCAGAGACGGGGCATGTCGGGAAGGGCTCCTGGTGGGGAGAGGGGGTTTGGGGTGGGGGGGACGTGGCACCCGGTTTACAACAGCCCCTTGGGCAGTGGCTCTCCGGGGGCCAGACGGAGGCTTCGGTGTACCAGCAAGCCGAGGACGGGAAGACGGAGCTGTCACTCATGCACTTCGCCATCACCAACCCGGGCTGGCAGCCCCCACGCGAGAGCACGGCCTTCCTCGGCTTCCTCAAAGAGCAGGTCCAGCGGGACGGAGGGGCTGCTGGCCTCGCCCAGGGGGGCCTACTCCCCGAAAATGCCCTCTTTACGTCCATCCAGTCCTTACAATCTGAGTCAGAGGTATGTTCCCGGGAATAGGGGGTGTCGGGCTGGGCACGGGGTGCCAAGGCCCACCCTGTGCCTCTTCCTCCAGTCTGTCCTGTCCTTGCCCCTGGGGCCCAAGACGCAGAATCCCTGGGGGACCAGAAGGCCTCCCTTCTGCCCTGAGTCTCTTGGGTTTGGGGCTTGGGGCCACCCCTGGGGTTGGCGGGGTGGGCTGCTCAGGGGATGCTCCCAGCTTACTGGGAGGCTTCTGCCGACTCCCCCCACCCCTCTTTCCTAGCCACTGAGCCTCATTGCAAACGTGGTGGCCAGCTCCTCCTGCCGGGGCCCCCCGCTACCCCGAGACCTGCAGAGCTCCCGCCACAGGGCCGACGTGGCCTCTGCCCTGCGCTCCTTCTCCCCACTGCAGTCCGGGCAGGTGCCCACTGGCCGGGCCCCCGGTGCCATGACGAGCTCTGGGTGAGTAACCCTGTGAGGAGTCGGGGAGGCCACGGGGGTAACCCAGACAGGGCCCAGGACAGGTGGGACGCAGCAGGTGACCGCGGTCTGTCTATGCCGGGATGGACAGGGTGGATGCCAGGACGGCCAGCTCCGGGAGCAGTGTGTGGGAAGGCCAGCTGCAGAGCTTGGTGCTGTCAGAGTACGCGTCCACCGAGATGAGCCTGCACGCCCTCTACATGCATCAGGTGAGGGGGGGGCGCACCCCAGAGAGCGTGGCAGGAGGATGGGTGGGCAGCCCTGCACCTCCCTCCGTTTGTCAGCCCTGCAGTCTCCGTCCCCCCAGAGAGTCCCTGTGGCCTCTTTTAGCTGGTGACTGCAGGCAGGTTCTGTCCTTCCCGGGTGCCCTGCCAAGAACTGCTTCCCCCAGGCCCCTCCATGGTCCCTGGCCCTGTTCTTGTCTGCTTGTCCCTTGACCTTGCTTTTTTTTTTTTTTTTTTTGTGGAATGGGGGGTGGACTTCAGGCCTGACAGGTTCGGGACATGAGCTGTGCGGCAGGGGGCCAGCCCCGGCCTTCCTCTGGCCATCCTAGGGGAAGGTCTCTCTCCCAGCCCCTGTCTCTTGTCCTAGCATTGAGCAGAGACTGTCCGACAGACTGGATGTATCCCTCTGATGTGTTTCCTTGTTCATCTCACACACAGACGCCTCCCAGGACTGGGCCTTGTGGCTCCTTTATTTTCTGTTCTATGCCAGCACCCAAGAGTGTCCGGAAGTCAGAATAGCAACTTTTTCTTTTTTTTTAGGGGGTGCAATGCAGGTGGTTATACATTTTGCAGTGCTCAGAGCTTACTCCTGGCTCTACGTTCAGGGATCACTCCTGGTGGAACTTAGGGGGAAACCAAACGTGGGGTGCCAGGGGTTGACCCTGGTTTAGCCGTATATACCAGGCATGTGCCCTACCTGCTGTACTTTCTCTTCCGGCCCCCACAATTTGTTCTTGAATCAAATGGCCATCAAGTGGGAGTCTCTGTTCAAGCTTGTTCCAGGGATCCACTAAGAGTTTTACTTGGAGGGGGCTGGAGCAGGGAGAATGTTTGCCTTAACACAGGGTCAACCCAGATTTGATCCCCGGCATCCCATATGTCCCCAAGCATCGTCAGGAGTGATTCCTGAGCACAGCTCCAGGAGTAACCCCTGCGTATCGCCATGTGTGGCCCACCCCCCACCCCCCCCCCAAAAAAAGAAAAAGAATTTCTCCCAAAGAACAGCCAGTGTGTGCTCTGCACTGCAGCTCCCTAGGGCCTCTCGGTCAGGAACTCTGGGTGGGGCGGTCTTAAGTGGGGACTGGTCGATGGTGTGGTGGGGCCCAGCTATCTCCAATGAGCACCTGACACCCTTCCACTTGCAATTGATGGAGCTCCTGCCCCCCCGCCCCTCCCCCCAGCTCCACAAGCAGCAGTCCCAGGCTGAACCTGAGCGCCATGTGTGGCACCGTCGGGAGAGCGACGAGAGTGGCGAGAGCGCCCCGGAAGAAGGAGGAGAGGGTGGCCGGGCCCCCCAGCCCATCCCCCGCTCGGCCAGCTACCCCTGCACTGCGCCCCGGCCCGGAGCCCCTGAGACCACCGCCCTGCAGGGGGGTTTCCAGAGGCGCTATGGGGGCATCACAGGTAATCTAGTTGGACCGATCCAGGCCTTGCGGGATGAGACATCGCGGAAGGGGGCAGGGGGGAGCCCAGCAGCCCCCCAGAACCACACTTCCTGTCTCTGCTCTGGCTGAGGGCGCCAGCCTTGTCTCCCCAGATCCTGGCACAGTACCCCGAGCACCCTCTCACTTTTCCCGGCTGCCCCTCGGAGGGTGGGCGGAAGATGGCCAGTCTGCAGCGCGGCACCCCGAGCCTGTGCCAGAGGAGGGCTCGGAGGATGAGCTCCCCCCACAGGTGCACAAGGTACGGACCCCTCCCCAGCCCCCAATGTTCCGCGCCCCTGGGCGGGAGCCGACCCACTCCTCCCTTCCATCCTGGTCGCCAACTCTGTTCCTTGCTGGGCCGCAGAGTTGAGGCCTGGCGCCCAGCCACACTGCTCTCTCCACAGGTATAGACAAGGCTGAAGGGGGCCCCTGTCCCCCCCCGGATGGAGATCGCCGGTGCCCTGCCATCCCGCCCACCCACCACGGAGGGCTCCTCAGAGTGTTGCCTGGAGTGTGGTGTGTTTTATGTGTTCTGTGCCTGGCCAAGGGAGGTGCCAACCATGGGCTTGTCGCAGCCCCAGGAGAGGACCTAGGGGCCTACGGGGTCAGGGCAACACGGGACCTGCGCTGAGGAACCAGGATCCTCCCCACCCCTACCCCCGCCTGGCGGCTCAGAGTGTGGTGCTAGAACCTGGTCCCCAGCCCAGCCCCAAGTACTGCCACCTTCTTTGCGCCCACCCCTGCAAGTCTCCCGAGGACTGCCCACGCCAGAAGCTGCCATGCAACGTAGGGGAGAACCTGTCTCACCTGTGGCGTGGGCACGTGAGGCCTGGCCCCTCGACTTGGGGGGTGCGCCCCGGCCGACCCTGGACAGATGAGCAGCTCAGGCTGTGGCCCTTACCTCACCCCCAGTTCTCTCCCGGTGCTGCAGCCTGTCCACCTCCCCGCGTCCCCGGGCATGGATGCGTTCCCGCTTCCGTTCTGTTCGCCGCACACCCCCGCTGCCTCCCACTCCGTTCTGTTGAGAGTTAGCTTGGGCCCTGCTTTGGGGTGCTGCCCCCCCCTCGGCTCCCAGCTCCCCTCGAGCTCTTACGTTTTGACACTAAGAATGAACGCCAACTAAGAAGTTGCAGACACAGAATGGAGAGCCTTGGCTGCCCTCTTTCCCTGCCCGCAGGAGGGGCCTCTGGGAAACTAAGAGGCCTTCCTAGTCCCCCAGCCCCCCAGTGCTGCTGCTTGTGCCCCATACCCCTGCGCCAGCCCAGGGGGCCCGCAGGCAGGGCTGACCTATGCCCTCTGCGGGTCAACCTCCCAGCAAGAGGGGTGGGGGGGTGTGACTGGACGCCTTGGCCTGGCCTAGGGGCTGCCGCGTTGCATGCCGGGCCCAGCTCCGGAGCCCTCCATGCCCTCCCCACCCCTGCTCAGGGCCGGCCGCGAGGGTGCGTGTGAACTGCGCTGCTGCTGGACCTCACCGCGGAGAGGGGTGGGGACCGTGTACAGCTTGAGAGCCCTTAATAAAAGAAGGGACTTTGACCGAGTCGTACCTCTTGTCTTGCTCGCGGCCCACGCTCCGCGCAACGTGTGTGTGTGTGTGTGTGTGTGTGTGTGTGTGTGTGTGTGTGTTTGAGTGTACGCGCGCGCATGCCTTTGCCAGGCCACTCTCCGGGGAACGTGTGTGTGTGTGTGTGTATGTGCGTGTGTGTGTGTGTGTGGCCGCACGCGCGCGCATGCCTTTGCCGGGAGGCGGGTAATCCCCCGCGGCGGGGGACCGGGGACTTGGGGGCCGGTCGCCAAGGACGGGATTTTCTGAGCCTAGCAGGGAGGGCCATTGCCTAGAGGTCAAAGTCTCCGGGGCCGGACGCGCGCGGTCAGATTTCGCGCCCGGCGCACGTGACCCGGCGGACGCAGCCCCACTATTTTGCCTTCCCCGCGTGTACCTTTTCCCCGCCCCCTCGAGGACGCTCGGCCAATGGGGATTCCGGAGTGGGGCCGCGGGGGCGGGGCGGGGGCGGGGCTCCGCCAGGGTATGCGGTGTCGGGGGCGTGGTCTGGGCGGGGCTCCGTCGCGGGGCGTGGCAGGGGCGTGGCAGGGGCGTGGCGGGAGCGTGGCTTTGCCTGGGATTGCGGCGCCGGCCCGGCGCGGAACATTCCTGCACGGCGGCCCTTGGCGGCGCGAGGGTCGGTCCGGCGCGGCGGGCGCGGGCAGGAAGGCGGAGACAAGGACGTGCCCCGCGTGAGTGCGTGCGTGCGTGCGGCGCGTGCGCGGAGCCAGTGGGCGCTGGGGCCGGCTCCACGTGCGGCGCGGCCCACGACCCCCGCGCCGGAGGGCCCCGCCGCTCCATGAGCCGAGGCACGTCGGCGCCGGCACCCCACCCCAAGCGGCCGGCTCCGATCCCCGGCCCCGCCGCGTCCGTGCGCCCGGCCGAAGGCCACGCATTGCCATGGTGACCGTGGGCAACTACTGCGAGGCCGAGGGGCCCCTGGCCCCGGCCTGGGCGCAGGGCGGCCTGACACCCTGCTTCTTCTACACGCTCGTGCCCTCGGCGCTCCTCGCGCTGGCAGCCCTGGCCTTGGTGCTGGCCCTGCCCTGCAAGCGTGGCCGAGAGCGGCTGGGCGGCCCTGACTCGCTGACTTGGGGAGCCGGGCCTCACTTCGCGCCCTACGTGGTGCAGCTGCTGCTGGCCACGCTTCAGATGGTGCTGCCCCTGGCCATCCTGGCCGGCCGCCTGGGCACGGCCCAGGGGGCCCCGCTGCCCGGCTACCTGCTGCAGGCCGCCGTGCTGGAGACGCTGGCCAGCTCCTGTGGCCTGGGGCTGCTCGTGGTGGACCGGAGACAGGCGCAGCAGAAGCTCGCCATGGGCATCTGGATCAAGTACCGCCACAACCCGGGCCTGCTGCTCCTCTGGACCGTGGCGTTTGCAGCCGAGAACTTGGCTCTGGTGTCCTGGAACAGTCCACAGTGGTGGTGGGCAAGGGTGGACGTGGGCCAGCAGGTGAGGGATGTGGGAGGGTCGCGGGGGGGAGAGGGCGGGGGGGGGGGGGCCGAGGAAGGGGGGGGATGGGGAGGTCCACACTCTCTTTGGGATGCCTGTTAAGAAAGGCCAGAAGGGCCCTGGCGCCTGTGGAGAGCTGATAGCCAGCTGCTAGGGAGTGTCTGCTGAGTCATGGTGGATTTGTTTGTTTTTTTTAAGCCTATTATACGCTGGGACCCTGAGGAGGACCTGGGAGTGTGCCCACGCCTGTCCCCAGCCCGGGGTTTGGGGCCCTCCTTGCTCCCCTGCCACCTGTTTGCTTCTAGGTCCGTTTTAGCCTGTGGGTGCTGCGGTATGTGGTGTCTGGAGGGCTGTTTGTCCTGGGGCTCTGGGCTCCTGGGCTCCGACCCCAGTCCTACACCTTGCGAGTCAATGAAGAAGATCGGGATGCAGAGCGGAGCCAGGTAACCCCCACCAACTCGCCGGCGCCGGGGTCTCTCCGGCTTCTATACTCTTTCTTTCCTGCCTTACCCTCATCGGCTTCTGCCCTGATTCATTTGGGGACACTCCTGGTAGCCTTTTCTGGCCCCCTCGGGGAGCATGCGTGAGGCCCAAGCTATCTGGAGGCTGCATCCCTGAGCCTTTCTGTAGAGCACCCAGGCTCCCAAACCGGTTGGTTATCCTTACTGTCCCCTCTGCAGAAGCAGAAGTACTCAGCACCCACCCAAAACAATCAATCACTGTTAATTCTTTCTTTAGTTAATTTCTTTAGTTAAGTGCTAGTGGCACCTGGCACTGCTCAGGGCTTATTCCTGACTCTGAGCCCAGGGGTCACTCCCAGCGGGGCTCAGGGGACCATGTGAGATGCTGGGGAACTAACCCGGGTCAGCTGCTGGCAAGGCAAGTGCCTTACCCACACTGTATTATCTGTGTGGCCCCATTAATCATTTTTAAGCCGCACCTTAAAGATACCCCCATCCTCACCCAGGCCCCAGTTCCAGAGCCCCCTGGGGGGTGTGGCCCACCTTAGGAAGCTTCTCCACTAAGGTCTGGGGGCTCCCTTTGATTTATGTCTGTGTTCCTTACCCCCATGCATTTCCCGAGTCTAGGCTCCCTCCACAGACAGGGCGTCCACCTGGCGGGACCTTGGCCGGAAGCTCGGCCTGCTGAGCGGTTACCTGTGGCCCCGGGGAAGCCCAGCTCTGCAGCTTGTCGTGCTCATCTGCCTGGGGCTCATGGGGCTGGACCGGGGACTCAATGTGTTGGTCCCGATATTCTACAGGGACATAGGTAAGTGCTCGGACCTGCCCAGCGCTTTGGTTCTTCATGGGACGGGGATGGGGGAGTGGATAGTGACTTGTGGCCAAAACCGGGATAGTCTCCTCCCAGGACTCTGGTCCTTTTTTTTTTTTTATGGAGTTTTTATTTATTTGGGGTGGGGTGGGGTGGAGGAGGTGTTTCACCTGGCGGCATTGGTGGCGCTAAGGGCTTACTTCTGACTCTCTGCTCGATGCCCAGGATTGAACCCAGATTGTCTGCGTGCAGGGCAAGCGCCTTACCCTCTGTTACCCTCTCTCGGGGCTGGAGCGATAACACAGCAGGTAGGGCGTTTGCCTTGCACGCAGCCAACATGGCCAACCCGAGTTCAATTCCTCCACCCCTCTCGGAGAGCCCAGCAAGCTACCGAGAGTATCTCGCCCGCCCGGCAGAGCCTGGCAAGCTCCCCGTGACATATTCGATATGCCAAAAACAGTAACAACAAGTCTCAGTTACTGGTGCCCACTCGAGCAAATCGATGAACAATGGGAGGACAGTGTTACAGTGCAGTGCTACCCTCTTGGGCCCCTCCGACTTTTTTTTTTTTTTTAGTCTTGTATCATTCTTTACAAAAGGAAACTGCTCCTTTTAACTTTACACCCACCCCATAACCCCAATTTCAAAACGTGCCATTTAATTGTCATGGTCATGGACATTTCCAAGATGAGACATGGGACATTTCTCTCCCATAGCTTCTGGTTTTCCTTTATTGAAGGAGTTTGGTCCAGCTGATGTCAGTGTATCCCTTCCAATAATCTTCACCCTCATCTTTGACTTCTGGAGGCATTTCCTCTGGTTCACTATCTTCATCTTCATTAAAAGCTGCTGCTACTGAAAGCGTTTCTGGAGCAAGAGTTGCAACTGTTTCTTTTAGGCTTCTCTGGAGCTTCTCGGTCTTGTCTTCTCCCACCTTTTCCGTCCACCATTTCCTGCCCCCCATCCTCTGACTTCTTTTCTCCACAGTGAACCAGCTGACGGAGAAAGCCCCTTGGCACACCCTGGCCCGGACGGTCAGCATGTACGTCTTCCTCAAGTTCCTGCAGGGCGGAGGCACGGGCAGTACAGGTATGAGGGGCGCCGACAACCCCCGCCCGCCCGCCCCCTGGGGAAACCCCTCACCCTGTGGGGGGGGTGCGCCAATTGATGCTTCCCCCCCGCCCCCCTCCCAGGCTTCGTGAGCAACCTGCGGACGTTCCTATGGATCCGGGTGCAGCAGTACACGTCGCGCCGGGTGGAGCTGCGCCTCTTCTCACACCTGCACGAGCTCTCGCTGCGCTGGCACCTGGGCCGGCGCACCGGGGAGGTGCTGCGCATCGTGGACCGGGGCACGTCCAGCGTCACGGGGCTGCTCAGGTGCCCCTTCCACCCACTCTGTGGGCGCGGGAGAGGGGCGGTGTCAGGACACTCGGCTCAGAGGCCACTTGGCCCCGGGCCTGGCCTTTTTCTCCTCTCTGTGTGGTTTTGGGACTGCCCCCCACCCCCCGCAATGGGGCCCAGGGGCTGCTCTCCGGGCACTGTGCAGGGAGCCCATCTGGGAGCTGAACCCTGGCTCCTGCTTCCAAAGCATCACTCTCGGCCCGCACAGCTACCTCCCAGGTTCTTCGGGGTTGTTTGTTTTTGGTTTTGGTTATTTTTTGTCCTTTTGGGTCACACCTGGCGATGCTCAGAGATTACTCCTGGCTCTGGACTTAGGAATTATTCCTGGTGATGCTCGGGGGACCCTATGGCATGTCAGGGATTGAAACCCTGGTCGGATGCAAGCAAGGCCCTACCCACTGTACTTTCTCGTTTCAGCCCCTTGTTTATATTATTTTTTATTGTTATTGGTTACATCCAGAGGTGCCCAGAGTTTACTCCTGGCTCTGTGCTCAGGGATCACTCCTGGATCACTCCAGGATGGTACATATGGAACCTATAAGGGCATGCAAGGCAAGAACTCTACCTGCTGTACTTTTGCTCCGGCCCCCTGGGTCAGCCTTGTGCAGGGCAAGTGCCCTGCCCACCGTACTACCACGTGGCCCTTTAGCACCGTAGCACTGTCCTCCCGTCCATTCATCGATTTGCTCGGGCGGGCACCAGTAATGTCTCCATTGTGAGACTTTTTGTTACTATGTTTGGCATATTGAATACATCATGGGTAGCTTGCCAGACTTTGCCTTATGGGCGAGATACTCTCGGTATCTTGCCGGGCTCTCCGAGAGGGGTGGAGAATTCGAAACTGGGTCGGCCACATGCAAAGCAAATGCCCTACCCACTGTGCTGTTACTCCGTGCCCTCTGTGGCCTTATCCTTTTTCATTTTAATTTTTATTTGGTTCTTGGATCACACCTGGCTATGCTCAGGGGTTACTGCTGACTCTGCACTCAGCAATTACTCCTGGCGGTGCTCAGGGGGTCCTGTGGAACACTGAACCTGGCAAGAGCCCTGTCTGCTGTGTTATATTTCTGGCCCCATAATTTTAAGACGGACATACACTTGCTGTTAGAGCAGCTTGGATGAGACAAACCAAGTATAAAGCTTTCTGGATTTCGCTTCTCCAGTGTCCCATCCCCTGAGTACATTGGCTTCTGCCTTTTTACCTATTTTCACTGACGCGGGCGGACTCAGAACCCATGTGGGATGGTGAGGCTTTTCCCACACCAGAAGGGTTGCGACCTCGGTGACCATCCCTTCCCCGGGTGATGCTCATAGCCCCCAGGCTTGTTGGAAAGAGCATGAGCTTGTCCCGGGTCATGCTGTGACGACCCTTGAGATCATCCCCACTCCGGGAGGCAGTGAGCTTGCTTCCAGATTGTTGCTTTTGCACACTAAACCCTCCGCCCAGGGTTCTGGAGCACAGCTGGTAGAGCACTGGCCTTGCACTCTGCTGACTCAGATTGGGTTCCTGACACCCCAGAGGGTCTTGTGAGCCCCACCAGGAATGATTCTATCAACCCTGAGCACGACCAGCTGTGACCCCATCTCAAGACCAAAGAACAAAAAGAAACACACACACACACACACACACACACACACACACACACACACACACACACACACCTATCCCGCCCCACCCCACCCCCTTTACTGAAACTCCTAGCGGCTGAGCTGCTGGCTCCGTGACCTTGAGCTTGCTTTGTCCTTCGCCCTCCCCTCCTAGCTACCTGGTGTTCAATGTCCTCCCCACGCTGGCTGACATTGTCATCGGCATCGTCTACTTCAGCATGTTCTTCAACGCCTGGTTCGGCCTCATCGTGTTCCTCTGCATGAGCCTTTACCTCGGTGAGCGTCACACGCAGAGGGGCAACCTTCCCCTCCTCAGGCTCCAGGGAGTCCGGGGGTGGGGGTGGGGGGCTGGGGTGAGCGCTCCCCGACTCAGGGGACCCCCCTGCAGACCAGAAGGGGCTCCTGGTGCTGCTAGTATGAGAGACAGGGTGGGCGCTGGGGGTTGGGGGTGCAGCTCAACCTGGAGGTGCAGGATGAGTGGGTGTCCCCTGGGAGAACCCAGTCGGGGCACGAAGCGCGACTTCCGTCTGCCCCGAGGATTTGGGCAGTCTCCATAGATGTCACCGCCCAGCCCCTTCCCAGCTCGCTCTCAGGTTCATGGGGTCTCGGGGCCGTGATGAGGGGTGGAGGTAGTGGGCCCCCCTCCCCCCGTGGATGCGGCCAGTCTCAGATAGACACAGGTGGTCTGTGTTGGGCGGTGAGGGAGGGGAGGGTGGTGACGATGTCCGGAATTCCTCCGTTGCTCACAGCCTTGACCATCGTGGTCACGGAGTGGAGAACCAAGTTCCGGCGGGCAATGAACACGCAGGAGAACGCCACGCGGGCCCGCGCCGTGGACTCGCTGCTGAACTTCGAGACGGTAAGGGGGGGGGACGGGGCTGCGGGCATGGGCAGCGCCCAGGTGGGTCCGGCTCCAGCCGGGCTGAGGGGGGTGGTACGAGGGGACAGGGCCAAGCGAGGGGGAACCCAGAGGACAGGAGGGTTCGGGAGGGGGCCCGTGCTGCAGCCACGTGGCACATTGGGGTGTCACTCTGACAGGTGAAGTACTACAACGCAGAGGGCTACGAAGTGGAGCGTTACCGGGATGCCATCATCAAGTACCAGGTGAGGGCTGGCGCAGGGCAGCCCCTGGGCACAGGTGTGGGCCCTGGTCACAGGCTGTGTGCACGTGTGGTGTGTGTGTGTGTGTGTGTGTGTGTGTGTGTGTGTGTGTGTGTGTGTGTTTGGCGATCAGCCCCTGGGGAGCAGGTTTGGACCTGGGATGGGTGAGTGTGCATGTATACGTGTGTGCGTGTGTGTGCACATGCGTGTGACCTGCCTCCTTCCCTTGGTGAGCAGTATACGCATGTGTGTGTCAGTGTGTCCCCTGATGCGGGTTCCAACATCCTAGTTGGTGAGTGTGTGTGTGTCTGTATGTCTGTGCGTGTAAGCATGCATAGGTGACCTGCCTCCCTGTGATGGTGATGAGTGTATTTGTGTGTGGCAGTGTGGCCCCTGGGCGCAGGTTTGGGCCCTGTGTTGGTAAGTGTGCCCGTGTGTGTATGTTGTCTGTGCACATGTGCACGTGTGTATATGTACGTGTGTGTGAAATGTGCACGCACGTGTGTGCACAGGCATGTGTGTTTTGTGCACATCTGTGTGCACACGTGTGTATGACCTTTTCTTCCTCCCGTCTCTCGGGCCCCACAGGGTCTGGAGTGGAAGTCCAGCGCGTCCCTGGTTTTGCTGAATCAGACCCAGAACCTGGTGATCGGCCTCGGGCTGCTGGCTGGCTCCCTGCTCTGTGCCTACTTTGTCAGCGAGCAGAAGCTGCAGGTGAGGGCGATGTGGCAGGGTGAGAGGGGGTGGGGGGGACCGCGACTGGGTGACAGGAAGTGGGGCCGGGTGACAGGCTTCTCTCTCTCTGCTCCGCGCAGGTCGGGGACTTTGTGCTCTTTGGCACCTACATCATCCAGCTCTATATGCCCCTCAACTGGTTTGGCACCTACTACAGGTAAGCCCCACCCAGGGCCTCCCATGGGCTGGAGGGCGGGGCGGGGGGAGCAGGAGTGATTCCCCCCCACCCCACCCCCTCCTGCGTTTTCCTGCAGAATGATCCAGACCAATTTCATCGACATGGAGAACATGTTCGACCTGCTCAAGGAGGAGACAGAGGTGCGTGGGGCGCAAGGGATGAGGGTCTGTGGGCGCAGGAACCCCCCCCCACCCGTGGGTCTGGGGTCTCAGCATGCCACCCCCCGCTCCCCCACAGGTGAAGGACCTTCCTGGGGCAGGCCCGCTTCGCTTTAAGCAGGGCAAGATCGAGTTCGAGAACGTGCACTTCAGCTACAGCGACGGGTGAGTGCACCGGCCCGTCCCCCTGTCCCCTGCCCTCTGTGGGTGTCCCCGGCCACCCCACTCCCCGGGAAGAGGGCCCTGACCTGGGGGCGCAGTGGTGGTGGGCCTGCTCACTGCCCTTCCCCGCTCTTCCCGGCAGGCGGGAGACGCTGCGGGACGTGTCCTTCACCGTGATGCCGGGACAGACGCTGGCCCTGGTGAGCGGTGCCCAGACCTGTTGGGTGCCTGGTGCCCGTGGGAAGGGATGGAGAGCAGATCGAAGGGGCTGGGGGTGGGGGCACGCGGCCACCTCCCAGCCCCGCCACGCCCATCAGCGTTCTTCCCTTGTGCCCCTTGCCAGGTGGGCCCCTCGGGTGCGGGGAAGAGCACCATCCTGCGGCTGCTCTTCCGCTTCTACGACATCAGCGCCGGCTGCATCCGCATCGACGGGGAGGACATCTCACAGGTGAGGGAGGGGCGACGCCCCTCCTGCTGGGAGCTGGGGCGGGGGACCCCTCGGGCCATGCTAGGTGCTCACGGTGTGGGGGGGGGGGACATGCCTCCACCTGGTCTTTTCGCCCCACGCAGGTGACCCAGATCTCCCTCCGGTCTCACATCGGCGTCGTGCCTCAGGACACCGTCCTCTTCAACGATACCATCGCCGACAACATCCGCTACGGCCGCGTCACCGCTGGGGACCTGGAGGTGGAGGCGGCTGCTCAGGCCGCGGGCATCCACGAAGCCATCCTGGCCTTCCCGGACGGTGAGCCCCAGCCCTGCCACTGCCGAGCCCCGTCCCTCCCTCGGTCACCCTCCGCCCCTACCCCCCACGCCCCTCCGGGTGTCACTCAGTGTGGTCACTCTCCGTAGGGTACAAGACCCAGGTGGGCGAGCGGGGCCTGAAGCTGAGCGGCGGGGAGAAGCAGCGCGTGGCCATCGCGCGCACCATCCTCAAGGCCCCAGACATCATCCTGCTGGACGAGGTGCGGGCCAGGGACCCTTCCCTTGGGGGCGACCAGGGGGCCCCACTCCAACCCAGACAAGGCCCTTTTATTGGGAGGGTGGTACCAGTACCCACACCCAGTGACCGTTGCAGCGCCCAGCAGTGTCCAGCAGCACCTGCCGCGGTGGCAGCCAGTGCCAGGGATCAAACTCGGGGCCTCACGTGCCGCACCAGGCCCGCGCCCCCGAGCTGTCTCCCCGGCCCCAGCAAGATTCTGACTTGGCGGCTCCTGGAACATCAGAACCACCCTGTAGGCCTCCTCCCAGGAGCTGGGCTGGCTGGCTGACAGTGGCCGTTTGACCCAGAATCTCTCCACAGGCGACATCCGCGCTGGACACGTCGAATGAGAGGGCCATCCAGGCTTCTCTGGCCAAAGTCTGTGCCAACCGCACCACAATCATCGTGGCACACAGGTGTGGGGCGGGGTGGTGCAGGGGTGGGGGGCGCCTCTTCTTGGTGGGTCAGGGGCTGACTGGTCTCTGATCTCTTAGGCTCTCCACTGTGATCCATGCGGACCAGATCCTGGTCATCAAGGACGGCTGCATTGTGGAGCGCGGCCGGTAGGGACTTGGCATGGCCGGGGGGGGGGGCCGGGAACCAGCCAGGGCATGGGGGAGGGGGAGGCGTCCTTGCAGAGGACAGGCAGGCCGGCTGGACGCTCAGGCTTCTCTCCGTGCCCCAGACACGAGGCCCTGCTGTCACGAGGAGGGGTATACGCGGACATGTGGCAGCTACAGCAGCGGGGACAAGAAGACGCCTCCGAAGACCCCCAGACCCAGGCCCCGCCAACGTGACAGAAATGGGGCCACGTCCCTTGGCATGGAGCCGCGAGAGGGGAGAGGGGTGTGCGCATTTCGGGCCCCGTCTGGGGTTTGTGAGGCCCCAGGAAAGGGGCTCTCCAGGAAGCCCCGGGGGAGGGGAAATAAAAGAGAGGAGAGGACTGCCAGCCCGCGTGATGTGCTGCGGCCGCCGCCCGCTGTCCCCTGAGCACTCCAGACCCCAGCGGGACAAACACCACTGAGACGCCTTAGGAATGGTCAAGCTCCTTTATTCTTCCCAGGCCCTTTCCCTTGGGGGGGCAGGGGCGGCCCCCCTCTGCACCTCCCCATAAGTGGGGTGCCAGGGTAACGGCCTGGCCAGCCCCCTCAGTGGGCCCAACCAGTAAATAGCCACCATCCCCCGTGGCTCCGGGGGTCTCTGCTGTCCGCTCCACCAGCTCTGCTTCCTGAAGCTTCTCCCGAGGGGCCTCCCATGGTCGCCCGGTCTGGCCTGGGCCTCACTGCTGGCGCCGTGGGGCCTCCGTGGCCTGTGTACCCTAGAGGTGTGAGGGCCGCAGTCCTCCTCAGCCGAGCCTCCCTCCCCGCGCCCAGGGCCCTAGCACAGGCTGCAGTTGGACGGCTTCGAGCTGCGGCCCTGAGCCTGGAGCAAGGAGGGGGAGGGGGAGGAGGAGGAAGACAGGCTGTGAGGCCCAGGCCTCAGCCCAGAGGGCTCCCAGCGGCTCCCCCTCCCAGCCAGGGACCCCCGCGACCCCACCTACCTGCTGCTGTCGGTATTCCGCCTCGCTGGCTGACAGTGCCTGGGCTAAGGCTAAGTCTTCCTCCTCCTGAGAACTGGCCGGGAGGGAGAAAGGGGCAGTGGAGGGGGGCTCTGGTAGGCCCCTGGGGACACTGGCACCCCCAATACAGGAGGCAAGGAGGGCTCTATTGGGTGATGGGGCTGGAGCAGTAGCACAGCGGGTAGGGCATTTGCCTTGCATGCGGCCGACCCGGGTTCGATTCCCAGCATCCCATATGGTCCCCTGAGCACCACCAGGGCTAATTCCTGAGTGCATCGCCAGGTGTGACCCAAAAAGCCAAAAAAAAAAAAAAAAGTTCTACTAGGTGAAAACTGCTCAGAGGTCAAAGGTCACAGTTTAGAAACTCGACTTTGAGTCTTACTTCCTATGGCCTTGTTGTCTGACTGGAGAGCCCCACTTCCCACCCTCCCAACAGACCCACCATCTACACCCCCTCCCCCAGCATAGGTGGGTACCTAGGGACCTGAGGTTTTGCTTCTGCCAATGACAGCTCCAGGGCTCGCTGCAAAGCCTCGTCCTCACTCTGCAAAAGAAGGGCCGGGGGCCAGAGCGATAGTACTGTGGGTAGGACGTTCGCCTTGCATGTTGCCCGACCGATTTGAACCCAAGCATCCCACGTGATCCCTTGAGCAGGACCAAGAGTCACCCCAAAACATGACTAGGTGTGGCCAAAACCTGCCCCCACCACCCCCCAAAGGAAGACCAGTTGCCTCTGCCCCACTCACCAGGCCATTCTGCAGCGTGATCACTGGCGGGGCGGGTGGGGAGGTCTTGGCCGGGACCTGAGCCGTGACTCTGTGGCAGACATTCGGGAGATGGAGGTCAGAGAGTGGCGGAGCAAGAGGGAGACGAGAAGCGGGCGGGCCTACCTGCTGGGCGAGGTAGAGGCAGGCACGGTCCGACTCGGGCTGGGGATGGTGCTCGCCGAGGAAGACTGGCTTTGTGCCCTGGAGATGGCGGCGAGGCTGGCGGGGAGAGATACGGGTCACGCCACTGTGAGCCAGTGGCTTGCACGCTGCCCCCCCCCCCCCCCAGGTCTTATCCTGGAAGCTTGCCACACGTTTTCCTCCAAACGGCTAGAAAGTATGCACCTGACGTGGAGGCCGTAAGACTCCGAAAGCAAGGAGGCAGGCATGAAGCATCTCACCCTACCAGCACAAAGACTGAGCCGGCCCCTGAAGGGGTTATGGGCCAAAGGCCAACAGCAGAGGTCACATCACAATTACCCTGCCCTATTGGGGACACGTCCCTCCCCAGAGCACTCGTGGTCCAGTGGGTGCCGGTGCTTGATGCAGAAGTTCCGGCCGCAGCGATCACATGTCAGCTTCATCATTTCCCGCTGCCGGCAGCCAGCACGCTCACACTTATTGGTGAAGATCTGAGATGAAACCAGAAAAGTCAGTCTCAGCCGAGAGGCTGAGCCCCGCAGGTCTCCGTCCCGCCTGATGATGCTAAGAGGCAACCAGTGTCCCAGTGGGCCACGGCTGAGCCGCCAACGCTTACCTTACGCTTCTGCTGAGCTGGGTCTGAGCGACAGTCCCGATCAATGTGCTCCCCCACCGCTCGGTCGGGGGGCTCCCCTCTGGCCACAGGAACAGGCACATTACAAAGGGGGCAAACAGGCACCTGGATATCCTAGAATTAGGATAAGATGTAGGGTCAGTCTTAACTCACTCACAGCAACCAAGTCTTTGATCCTGTTTGGTTGGGGCAGTGCTCAGGGTTTACTCCTAGATCTGAGCTCAGGGATCATTCTTGGTGGTGCTCAGGGGGCTGTAGGGAGTGTGGGGAAATCAAACTCAGGCAGGATGAGCACAAGGCAAGCCCTTTATCCGCTGTATTATGTCTTTGAACCCCTTAAGTTTTTTGGTTTTGCTTTTGTTTTTTTGGTTTTCTTTTTTAGGGGGGAGGGAAAAGAGGGTCAGAACCCACACGAGGCGGTGCTCAGGGCTTACTCCTGACTACCGTGCTCAGGGATTTCTCCTGGTGGTGGGGGGGGTCAGGGGACCCTATGGAAGGTCCAAGTGAACCTGGGTCAGCCATGTGCAAGGCATGCGCCTTAATCCCTGGACCATCTCTCCAGCCCAAAACTCTTGATCGTGAATGAACCAGGATGGTCCACCGGCCCCCAAGCAAGCAAACAATATTTGCCCAGCACCTCTGCAGGACAATAAAGGCGAGGAGATGGAAAGTGGAGGGAATCTGAGATGTTGCCTACATCCCACCGCATGCACCCCCGCGCCGGGCACTACTCCCCCTCCCAGCCCCGGGACGCCCGCGCACCTTTTGGTAAGCCGAGCCACAGTGATGCTGAGCGTAGGCCACGTGGTCTGCGCAGAAGATGCCGGAGCAGGCATCGCACTTGAGCGGCAGGAAATCTGCAAGGAAACCGGGTCGGAGTGCAGGTCCGGCGGGGAACCTCGCCGTCCTGTGCGCGCTCCCTCAAGTCGCCCCCAACTCGGGACGCCCCGGGACGCCCCGGGTTGGGGGGAGGCAAACATCAGCCCCTTGGGGAAATCCGCGGTGCACCCCGCCGCCGCCGACACCGCCTCCCTGGCCACGCCCCCTGCGGCCACCGCCCCTAACTTGGAGCCCCACCCCGCCCCGCCCCTCCCCGGCACCAGCTCACCCGGGAGCCCGGTCGGCCCGCCCCGCCCCGCCCGCAGCGCCGAGCCCCCTCCACTGAGCGCCCCTCCCCGGGACCCCCCGCGCCGGCTCCGCCCCTCACCCAAGCGCTGACAGCTAGGCTCCGAACAGTGCGCCCCGAGGTCCGGAAACTCCATGGCCCGGAGGAGAGCGGGGGGTGGAGACAGAAGCGGAACGTCCCGAAGGCTCCGAGTCCGGAAGCGCGACCCCCGCACTCGGTGGGGGGGCCTCCCGCCCCGCCCCTTTTGCTCCCCCGCCCAGCCGAGGCGACCCGAACCTCAACGCTTCCCGGCCTGCGGCTCCTGCTCCTCCCCCCGCCACCCCGGAGCGCGCGGCGCGATGACGTCACCGCGCCGTGCGCAGGGGCGGGGTGACGGGAGGGAGGGGCGGGGCCGGAGCTACAGGCCCCGCCCCGCCTCCCCACAGTCGCTGCGGCTCCTCTGGGCATCCTGGGCGCGGGCTTAACTAGATACCTGCACTGGGCGTCTTGGAAGCGGGTTTATCTCCACGAAGGGCCCGGCGAGCGCCAGGAAGGAGTGTGCCCGGAGCTTTGGGGGTTGGGGGGGAGTGGAAGTTGATGGGGACCCTTCGGGTCGGTCCGTGGCCGGCTTCTCATCCTGCATCCTCTAGCCCAGATGGTGCCCATAAATTTCTCAAGGGCAGAATTCACTAATACTTGGAGCCAGAACAGCCGGTAGTGCGCTTGCCTTGCACGCAGCCGACCGGGATTCGATCCTTCGCATCCTCTGGCTCTTAGAGGAGTGATTTCTGAGTGCAGAGCCAGGAGTAACCCCTGAGCATCGCCAGGCGTGGCCTCAAAACAACAACAAAAATAAATTCACTTTTTGCAGACAACCCAGCAGGCTACCGAATGTATCCTGCCCGCACGGCAGAGTCTGGCAAACTCCCCGTGGCGTTCTTAATATGCCAAATACCAGTAATAATGATGGGTCTCATTCTCCTAACCCTGAAAGAGCATTTCTCAGGGCTAGGACGAAGGAGACATTACTGGTGTCTGCTCAATGCAATCGATGAACAACAGGATGATCGTGATCGTGATCACGCAGACGGGAGCCATAGTACAGCAAGTAGGGCGATTGTCTTGCTGGAACTGGTTCAATCACCAACGCTAAACTTCAGATTCTCCCTGAATTCCTGGCACCTCCACAGCTGATTTAAATCCTGGACCCGGTTCCAGCTTGGTACAAGACCTGCCTGTTGGTGCAAATTATTCCTTCGCTACATTTGGGGCTACATTTGGGAAATATTAGCCAAAATATTCTGAGTGTTTGTTGAATGGAACAGAGCAAAGGGAGGTCAGAGGTCAGACTATCTTGCATCACACATTGGATGTTCTTTTGGCTCTCACATTCTTTTGGCTCCCATACATAGGCTGTATTCTTCCCATGATTTGGGGCATGGGTGACTGGAGCAATAGTACGGTGGGTAGGGTGCTTTCCTTGCCTGGAGCTGACCTGGGTTTGATCCCTGGCACCCCGTATGGTACCCCAAGCCCACCAGCAGTGATCCCTGAGTGCAGAGCCAGGAGTAAGCCCTGAGCACCAACAGGTGTGGTTAAAAAAAAAAGAGGTGGCCTGGGGACAAGTGAAGAAGGAAATAAGGGCTGGTGCAAATGCTTTGCATGGAGGAGACCAGATTCCATTTCCACACAACACACACACACACACACACACACACACACACACACACACACACTGGTCTCCAGAGCACCACTGAGAGTCCCTCTTCACCCATACTTGCTGGGGAATGACCCCTGAACATCACTCAGTGTGGCCCCAACACAAACAGAAGAGAAACAAATACCCCGGCCTACCTTTAGGATGTGAAGATATGCACTTGCTCTCCCTCCCTCTTTTTTTTTTCTTTTTGGGCCACACCCAGCGATGCTCAGGGCTTACTCCTGGCTCTGCACTCAGGAATCACTCCTGGTGGTGCTTGGGGGACCATATGGGATTCTGGGAATTGAACCCAGGTCAGACGTGTGCAAGGCAAATGCCCTACCTGCTGTGCTATTGCTCTAGTCCCATCCCTCCATCTTTTTTCGGGTGTTTTTTTTTTCCATTTTTGTCTTTTTGAGCCATACCTGGTGATGCTCAAGGAATCACTCCTGGCTCTGTGCTCAGGAATCACTCCTGGCCAGTTCAGGGGACCATATTGGATGTCGGAGGTCAAATCAGGTCAGACATAGTCAAAGCAACTGCCCTATATGCTGTATTATCTCTTCAGCCACCCCTCTCCAATTTTTAACTGTTTCCCTCTGCATCTGCTTATCATAAGCTTTATAACTCTTAGGCAGTAAAAGTTAAAACCCTGGCATCTCAAGCAGCACCCCTCACCCCCTCTGTGCCCTGTTGCCTTGAGTTGGATAATCACATGCTAAAGCCCGACCAGTGTTCCTATGTCAGGGCATATGCAGGATATGTCGTGAGGACGAAAGTCAGCTCCGTCTGGAGTGAATATCACCATGCCACTTTGGACAGTCCTTCCAGACGACCCAAGCAAATTCGCTTAACCCCTTCCTTCACTCAATACCAGCTTAAATGACCTTCCACTGTCCTGTGACTGGATTTGTGTAAGACCAGTGTGTATGGTGCCAGAGCTGGAGTGCATAGTTTACATACGGGGCGGGGGTGGAAGTTTCCATCCTTGTTACCACACGACCACTGGGAGATACCGTGACAATGAAATAGGAGTAGCCCCTGAGCACCATCATAGGAATCTTCCCTCAAAGAGACAGAAGTGGGGAGTGGGAGTGTGCTTTCATCCCTGTAAAGCACAGAAGAGTGAGTTAGCTCTGATCTTCCATGTTTTGGGGACTGTCTGTGGGGTTGACAACTCCTTTCTCTGCACCTTGTGGTGGTGGTTCAAAGCTTTTAGTTCAGCCCTGGGCAGAAATACTAAGACTGGACTTACAGGTGGGAAACCAACACTTTTTTGCCAGCACCATCTGCTTTTTTGGAAGCCGAAGTCGGCAATGTGGCAAGCAGATGTGACGTGGGGGTTCCAGAAGCTGCCGCTACATTTGGCCAATATGACACTTTCGCAGGATTTTGAAAGCCAGGCCAAGAGAATCTGGGTTCCTAATACAGTCGAGCTTGGAACAGAGAAAGTGACGGGGTGGACAGCTGCCAAAGTCCCAGGTCGTACTGGCTGTGGGTTGGACAGCCAGATGCAGGCTGAGGTGACACTCTGGGATCAGACTGTGGGGCTGGAATCCATCTGAGATGGAGCGCATACAGATTGCTTGGAGTCACCTCCCAAAGTCAACAACCCCAAACCCCACATCCCAACACACACACACACACACACACACACACACACACACGGCTGGTTGTTGACTGTGCTGGTTTCACTTTTTCTCTTGGGCCCTTCGGAGTCATTGCAATAGCTTCTGAAGACATCAGAGGTTTGGTTTTGGGGTTTTGGTTTTTTGGGCCACATCTGGCACCTGGTGATGCTCAGGGCTTACTCCTGGCTCTGAGCTCAAGAATCATTCCTTGGGGTGGAAAATGGGCACTGGTGGACGGATGGGTGTTTGATCATTGTACAATTGAAACCCAAGCACAAAAATTTGTAAATCTACAACTGTACCTCATGGTGTTTCACTAATAAAAATTAAAAAAAAAAAAGAATCATTCCTTTCATGGTTTGGAGGACCACAAAGGATACTAGGGATCAAACCTGGGTCAGCCATGTGCAAGGAAAGCACCCTACCTACTGTCTGCCTGTGCTCGAATCTCTGGCCACACCCTACAATCAGGCTAAGGATGTGCAGGGGACTCAGCCAAGTGCACACCTAGAGGCTCCTCAGACCTGGATTCAACTTTTAGCCCACCCTTTTTTTTTTCTTTTTGGGTCACACCCGGCGACACTCAGGGGTTACTTCTGACTCTGCACTCAGGAATTATTCCTGGCAGTGCTCGGGGGACCATATGGGATGCTGGGAATCGAACCCGGGTCATCCGCATGCAAGGCAAACGCCCTACCCGCTATGCTATTGCTCCAGCCTCTAGCCCACCCTTTAGAAAGAACGGTTGTTGAGGAAATAGTACAGTGGGTAAGGCTTTTGCCTTGCATAGAGCCCACCCCGGGTCGATCCCCAGCATCCCATAGGGTCCCCTGATCACCACCAGGAATAATTCTTTGGCAGAGCCAAGAGCATCACCAGGTGTAGGCCCCAAAAGCTAAAAATGTAAGAAGAAAGAATAGTTGTTGAAGAGCTTGTCATTTGTACCCTTCAAGACTCCTCCTCCGTGAAGTCCACTGAAACCCAGCATTGGGACATGAGATTTAAACTTAGGAAATTGGGCTGGAGACATAGCACAGTGGCAAAGATACTTGCATTGCAAACAGTCAAACCAGGTTGGATCCCTGATACCCCATAAGGTCCCCCCAACCCCTCCAGGATTGAACCCTGGGAGCAGGGCCAGAGATAGTCCTGAGTACAGACAGTGTGGCCTTCCAAACCAAAAATAAATAAACTTAGGAAATTGAAAAACTGCTAATATTTGACTTCCCTTTTTCTTTAAACGTAAAAGCACAATTTAGGGCTGAGAGCATGACTCAGCAGAAGAGCAACTGCCTGGCATGTGGGAGGCCCTGGATTCGATCCGTGACACACTCTACAGTACAAAACAAGGACTGGAGAGATTTACGGAGGTTCAGGCGCTTGGCTGGCATGCAGCCCACCCTGGTTCAAATCAGGTTCCCCCCCACACACACACACACACACCTCCCCAGCTCTAACTAGGATCACTCGTGAGCACAGAGCCAGGAATAGCCTCTGAGCACCTTGGGCAGTCAGGTGTGGCCTCAAGATAAAGCCAAATCACCTGGGCCAGAGAGAGGGTTCCAGGACTGAGCGCAGCAAGCCTGGCAGATGGGAGGCCCAGATTCAATCCTCAGCACTGCACGGGCCCCCAGAACTTTCCAAGGGCGGCCTCTGAGCACAGCTGGGCACCACACCCGATCTGAGAGCTGAGAGAAGCTCCCAAACACTGCTGGGTGTGGCCCCAAAATCAAATGAAACAAAAACACTACTTCATGTGGTTTGATCCAATGTATACAGCCTGTGTCACAGGCCAGAATTGTTCTCTTCTGACCTTTTCGGGCTGGGGACTGCGCAGCCTGTGGGTTGGGTAACGCTTTCAAAATCCTGTGGTCTGGCACATATGCTGCCGGAACCCATGTGCTGCTTGCACCCACGTGGCCGACCACATGTGTCACCTGCATCTCCCCTCTTGAGATGTGGACTTTCATGCTTTCGTGTTTAGTGCTGGGATGTGTG